AAAACCCTGTTCTAATGGAGCTGCAGAAGACAAAACTCTTATGATGTTGAGCTTTCTAAAGTTTCAAAAACTCTTCTGTCATGGTAACCCTTAGCTCACTCTGCTTCAGAATTGATAATCACTTATTTTATTTTTACCCAAGCCTAAGAACTTCCAGAATTTTGTGAATTAACAAACACAAACAGAGACAAAAGATCTGATTCACCAGGGTACCATTTCAGCAAACTTTGTTATTACAATAAATCCTGATAGTAATAAGGCAATAAAATCTCACTGGTGAATTTCCCCTGAAAAGGGCTGGCAGTTTAATGAGAAAATAAATGAGTTCACTGGCACTGGAATTTCTTCTATAGCTGAGGCAAGTGAGGTTGAATTACGGGAACCCTAAATTGCAGAGAAAAGTGAGAAAGTTGAGTTTTTAGAGTTTATTCCTGTTTGCTGTTGACTTCCTTGTAGTAAAAACAGTAACAAAAAATAAATACCGGTAAATAGTATACTATTATTCTTGACTAATTATCCACCATCACTTATGGTACCTGTCATTGAGGAAGGCACAATAATGCTTTGCTCTAAAGCCCATGACAATTAAATGGAAAATAAAAGTATCAAAGATATTGAATAGATGGGAACTGCATGATGTACAGTATTTGCTGAGATACTAGCAGCCAAAGAAGATGTACCTCCAATGAATTTTCCCAACATCAATAGCTCCGGCATGCAGAGTCCCAACTTACAGAAACAAAGGAAATGGGAATATGCAGTCAGAGCCAACAAAAGTACGTACACCGTTTTCCATTTTTACTTGATTCAGTCATGCAATTGTCATGCCGAAAAAAATTGAACTTCAAAGAGTTCAATGAAGGAGAGAGCATCCGCCTATGTGGATAGGCCTAGAGCATGGGTGTCAAACTCAAGGCCTGTGGGCCGGATCCAGCACGCGGGGTACTTAGATCTGGCACGCGGGGCTGCCCTAGAAACAGCGAAGGACTGGCCCGCTGTGCCTCTGCCAGCGAAAATGGGCTCCTGAGCTCTGTTTTTGGCTGCCACAGCCTCCTGCAACCCTCTGCCAGTGAAAACGGAGCTTGCGGCCCTCCCAAACTCCGTTTTCACTGGCAGAGGGTTGTAGGAGGCTGTGGCAGCCAAAAATGGAGCTCAGGAGCCTGTTCTCACTGACAGAGCACTTGAGCCGCCACAGGCGCCCCCTACAGGAGTGACATTGAGCTGGCCATGCTCCCTGGCCACGTCTCCCCAAGGTCAAACACAACCCTGATGTGTCCCTCAATGAAATTGAGTTTGACACCCCTGGCCTGGAGCAACTGTATCAACACAGAACTCACAGTTCAAAGAACAACTCCCATATCTAAGAAAGTAGGAGAACCTGTCAAAGTGCGTCCACTCCACAAGAAGGCTGACCCCCTAAGCAAATGCAGAAGGTTTCAGAAGAAATCTTTTGAGAAACACCAAAGTTCTGCTGAAACAATGATTTTGCTTTTGATGCTGCTCATCTACAATCCCCCAAAAAACTCGAAGGAATCCACAGGCTTGCAATTCCACTATCCAGGTCTCAGTACTAGCCAGCTAGATAACTTAAGCAGTTTTCTCCAAAAACTTGATTAGAATATGAAATGCGATGGAATCCCAACTGTCATTTTGATCTCAAGATCAGTTCCAGGACCCTGGTTACTATCCCAGAAAACCACTTTAGTAGGTTTTAGAGGATAGATTAGAACTTGGGTCTTTTTACTTCAAGTCCTGAACCTTAATCACTGTATCACCTTGGATCTTATTTAGAAAAAGAGTTTTGACAAGATAGTTTCAGGATTCTGAAAATACAAAACTCTAGCATTCGTGATTTAATTACACGGTTTAAAATTAGTTAAACCAGGGCTGGCATATCTGAGTTGCTGATCTGTTAGAAATCTTCAACTCTGGACTACCCTCTGGTGATTGCTGCTTGTTTGCAGCCCAGATCTAGCAATCCTAACATAAACATTTCCATGTTAGGCTAAGGCCTTAAGGAAGTTTTCAGCAAGAATCACAGTATTATTTTGTAGGCAGCAGTTAAGAACAAAGCACTAGAGGGCAGTATTACCCATCTGCGTACTGTATAAATATGTGCATTTTATCTGAACCTCCCTCCCACCACCTTCATGAGTAGCTTTTCCAGTATGTTCAGTTGGTTTGGCCAGAAAAAAAAAATATTGTCAGAGAGAAGAAGGGTCTCGAATTCAAAATGAACAATCAAATTAAACAAAGGAGCCAATTTACCCTACATCTGTTTCATTTCTGTTGAATCAGTATTTACTAATATATACTGCTCAAAAAAATAAAGGGTACACAAGCAGAAGACATCGAGATCTGAATGAATGAAATAGCCTTATTAAATACTTTGTTCTTTACATACAGTAGTTTATACACTGCTCAAACAACTAGAGGGAACACAAAACTACTGTATGTAACGAACAAAGTATTTAATAAGGCTATTTCATTCATTCAGATCTCGGATGTCTTCTGCTTGTGTTCCCTTTATTTTTTTGAGCAGTGTATATTGCACAACTGATTAAGCTGTCATCTAATTGCCTAGTTAATTTTACTATCTCTGTTGAGTGAATAGGAAAGCAGACAATTGGAGAGCCTTAACATATTGGACAATTGTGTTTTAGAATATGTACCTCTTCCACAGATATTTCTGATGGTTTCTGGCTCTCTACCATGACCTTGGTTGATTTTTTAAATGCTAATCAGAAATTAATTTTAGTATTTAGTATTTGTAAAGGTTGGCAATGAGAAAAAAAAAAGCCAAGAAGGCACCAATAACTATGTGGTCTATGTAGTAGTCACCAGATTTTATTTTTTCTGTTTTAAAAGAGAAAGCTTTAATGACATGTGGTTAGGCAACCAGAGAATGCTTCATTTGATGGTTTACATAGGAAAGCTATATACTAGTATGTCATAATTAAAAACAGTTGTTTGGTGGTGGTAGTGGTGGGATAATTATCTATTTAAAAATGGGAATAAATTGCTTAGTTAGAACTACCGTATCTCAGCTTTGGAAAATACAATCTTGAAATTGCAGCAAAAATAATTTAGTATAGAAAATAATTATTTTCTGCCATTATTTTTGCAGCCAGATACAATGTTTTTTCCCCCCATTCAGTCATGTCTGATTCTTGGAGAGTGCCTGGACAAGTCCCTGCCGGTTTTTTGGAAGTTTTTTGCCATTGCCTCCTTCCCAGGACTGAGAGAAAGTAACCAGCCCAATGTCACCCAGCTGGTTTTGTGTTTAAAGCAGGACCGGTCTGCCAATTTCTTGCCTGGTGTCTTAACCACTGCACTAAACTGGAAAATCAAAAAAAGGGATCAAAGCTATGTTAATCTTTTTTATTTCTTCCTAGTATTTTCTCACAATTGCAGGGTCCTTTTTTTCCAGATTGTGAAAAAAATCCCCTTGTGTTGGTTGCGACAGGAATTAACCAACCAGTTTGTCGCCCAAGCCTATGTTAGTCTATGATGGCAAAAACATTAGGACACATCTGGGAGCAGTTTTTCCAGCTACACATTTTATTAAAAGGCATTGGCTCTAAGATTAAAGTGTACTGTATTCCTTTTAATCTATTTTATTTTTCAAAAAAAGTTGAAAAAGGTGCTCCCAGACTCCTCCTCACCTCTAGTTTATAATAAAAGAATTATTTCCCAATATTATCAATCATTTGGGAAATTCTAAAGTAAGAATCCCAGAAACGTAGTAAATTATTTAAAAAAAATGAGGGACTAGGAAAAATATATAACATTTGCAAAAAATAACATTAACACCTCATGGAAAATAAGTTTAAAGGTTCAATGATGACTGTAAATTATACATTTTTATCCTCTCCCTTTCATTTGTTTGCCTTGACATAGAAGCAAAGATTTGTAGTTAAATTTTCAAGAAAAAAGAAGTTGGAAAAACCATCTCCTGACACACCAACTTAGTATTTGATTTAACCACAAAATGCATGTAAGAGTTACTAGTATCTTAAGCGGAGAGCATGGGATGAGCAGGTCAGTCGATCTGTCCCTTCAACAGGTTTAGGACAAGTCAATTAACCCACCCAGCAGACAAAAGTTTTTCTAGATTATTAAACTATCTAATCTAAGGCAGGGTTAGGGTTACGGTTAGGGTCCTTTCGGTGCTGAAGACCAACCTTTAAAAGCAATTTTTCTGGAGGCTAGCAAATTTAAGAAGTGAGGACTTGGTAATTTTAAGAAGCGCGGATGACCTCTTAAAATTGCCAAGGATGAGAAACAATGTTGTAGAGAAATATCAGATAACTTCAAGATTATCTATTGTTGTGTGGTGGGCTATAAGAGTTCTCTCCTACCAATCCATTAATCTATAGAAAAATTAATGCAGCAGAATTCTGGTTCATTTTCAGTTTAACTTTTTGTAAAACAGGGCAGTGTGCATCAGCCTAGTGGCATGTTTTTTTTTAATACTCCTAAAGAATTATGGACTTCAACTCCCAGAATTCCTCAGCACTCTTTATCCTCTAAAGACTGCAATCCTGGCAATAAGATATCAAGATGATGAGAAATTATCCAGTTCCTCTATCTAAATCCAACGTGAAAATCATGTTATTTTCTCTAATCTTTGGGGCAAGAGAGCTCTCCTCTTATTGATTATCTCATTTGGCAGTGTCTTTGGGAGTTGCAAAGAATTTTGCGTTTTATTTCCTAGATTAAAATCAGTGTCGCACAGAGTTGGGGTTTTTTTTAAGTTAGCTGGAAAAATACTTAAAAAAAAAAAAAAACCCGACTAGAGGGAGGAATCAAAAGCCAAGACTGACGATGGGAAAGCTAGAAGGGTTGCCAGTAGCAACAATCCTGCGCTAACGGCAATCGGTGCTCGATTGCCGGGGCTCCTTATCCCCCCCTAGTTTTGCGGTTGCCTTGCGATCGGCGGAAAAGCCGTGGCGTTCAATCTATTTCTCGGGACTTGATTAGCTGCGCCTGCCCCCGAACGCGGAGAGTTATTTTTCTCCGAGGCAAGATGGCCGCGTCAGTGGCTGGGGCTGCCCCACTGGGCAAGGGGTTGGACATCAGCTTGGCGGCTCTCCAGCGGCACGACCCCTACATCGGCAGCATCTTGGACGTGGCCAGCCAGGTGGCGCTCTACACTTTCGGGCATCGCGCCAATGAGTGGGTGCGTGAGCGAAGTGCAATCCCGGGACGGTTGGTGGGGAAGTGTAAGAAAGACGGAATAAAGTGTAGCTGTCGTTCCCGTACCGTAAATCCCGTAGTATAGGAGCGGAAGGAGGAGGAGTTTTTCAAGCCTCTACGTGGCATCCACTCAAGCGGGAGGTCCCGTAAACCCTCTAAACGATTCACCCTTCGCTTTTAACTCGAGGTCATTTTTTCTCCCCTTCAGATTTGCCTGGCTTATATTTTGGGCAGAGAATCGTTATTATGATCATTGCCCCCTCCTTTTTTTTTTTTTTTTAACAAAAATGGTTAATTTAATCCCGTTTTATTCTTTGTAGGAGGTTATCTGACTGTTCTTTACTGCCTGGCCTTATTTCAAAAGAGACCAAAAGAGGCATTATCTGCGCAAGGTCTAAAATGAAGCACATGTCAATTTTGCTTGCAAAAATCCCTTTCTTCCATCAGGGAGCACTTTCTGCTGATGAACTCCGGGGATCTGCCAGCAGAGCTTACCCCGGCTGCCAAGATCAGCGGAGAGGAACTGGAATAAGGAGTGGAGAGAGGGCAGCCTGCCAGGGGAGGAACAGCCAAAAATTACATGCCACGGCCAACGTCCCATTCAAAACAGACATATCTGCAATCTAGCACCGAGTTAAACAAGTCTGAGAATAGATTTAATCCGTTTCCCAGAATAATTAATAGTATGGATGATCCAAAAATCAGTGTCCTAAATTCCCCACCTCCCATCTCCTCAATAATATAAGATTATGGTGCAGAACAACCCTAGCCAGCCTATTTTTAGTGCACCCGGCCTTTAGTCACCTAGTATTGGACTGTCCAAATATATTGAAGTTAATAACTCATTGGGAGTTATTAATTGGGTTAATAATGATTGGGATAGCTGATTTTCAGCTGTCAAGGAGGGGAGTGCCTGTAAGGGAGCTCTTTATGGCAAAAAAAGCTTCACTCAGTAATCCTCAGTAATCAGGTTTGGGCTAGATGAGAGTCCCAGGAAATTTCAGATTTGAAGGCTGGCCTGGAAAGTAAACAAATCCCTATTATGGAAGGGTTTTTACTTTAATGGATGATGTGCCATCAAGTCATTTGTTGACTCCAAGTGCATCCAAGTGAATAGATGGTCTCCATGATGAATCCTGGGAGAATCACTTCCATCATGGTGCCAAGAAAACTGCATGGGTGTGCCTGCATAATTCGAGGGATCTGAAGTTAACTTTGTTTATTTTATTCGGTCTGTATTATTTAATAAATAGCTCAAGGCAGAGAACGTTTATCCCTGTGGGGTGGGGTGAATTGAGAGAGAGTGACTAGCCCAAGATCACCCAACCTGCTTTTGTACCTAAGGCAGGACTGGTACTCACAATATCCTGGTTTGTAGCCTGGTGCCTTAAGCACTAGACCAAACTGACTTCACCAGTTGCTACCAGCAGGAGTAAGCCAAAAGCTTTGGCTTCAGATTGTTGCCTATTTCCAAGGCAGATATGATACATGTATCTCTTAGGTCAGACCTGGGCATTTTACGGCCACATCTGGCTCTTTGGCTGCCCCTGTCTGGCCCACGTGAGGTCAGTTGGAAATTAGAAATCAGATGCAAATAAGTGTACACCATACACACAACACATCTACATTGGTTTTATTTTAAAGGTGACTGCTATTTATTTATTTTTTTCAATTACGTATGTGCGTGCGTGCCTACTCACCTTCACAGCTTTATGTTTTGACCTTCCACAACAGTCACAGTTTCTCATGTAGCCCCTTAGGAAAATCAATTGTCCACCCCTTTGCTAGGTAGAATACACTGGCCTGTCCTTCCACAGGCAGGATACAGTGCTTTGTCAAAATAAGGAAATCAACACCATGTTTTTGCAATATAAGCGCTACCTTTTTGTCCGATCTGTGCAACATCATGAAGCACAGACAAAAGGGACAAAGCTTGTGTAGCTAATGGCACAACATGACTTTTGACGTTTGTGTACCCTTTCCTCCCCTCCTAGCACTTTGAACTGGCTGTGTGAGGGATAATTTTGTTTCCAGCCATCCCACTCAGAAGGGTTTAATAATTCTGATTTGGAATTAGCTGCTTCTCTTACCCTTTCCTTTAAAAAAAAAAAAAATACTTGCAGCCACCCTACTTAATCAGGAAAAACTTATTTCCATTTTTCCCCCCTGTTCAGTCATACCTGATTCTCAGAGACTGCCTGCACAAGTCCCTGCAGTTTTCTTGGCAGCATTTTCAAACAATTGCCATTGTTTCCTTCCTAGGGCTGAGAGAGGATAACTGGCACAAAGTCACCCAGCCGGTTTTGTGCCTAAGGTGGGACTAGAACTCATGGTCTCCCAGTTTCTAGCCTGCCTTCACCACCATACCAAACTGCCTCTTCCAAATTAACAGTAAATAGACCATAACTCATCTACATATTATCACTGTCCATTTGTTTTGGTGAAGCTCTTTTCAAACAGATATGAAGTTTATAGCTCAGTGCATATATCTGCCTTTACTTTCAGGGTCAGCTTATTATTACTAATTTTATATCACTTCATTAAAATGTTTCAAGTGGTTTTTTTCCCATTGATCGATGCTATTATCTCTTTTGTTTCTTTTCCTTTTTATTTTCCTGATGACCCTTTCCTGATACATTCCTTGATTCACCACATCACCAAACTTCTCTTCACTTTCTGGAATATTTTGCCTGTTAAATTCCAAAAATATGACTATTGAGTGTGATTACATTACAATTGGACTATTTGTGCTTTTATTGCACCCAGCATTTTTGATCACCCACGCATACGAATTCCAAAATCCAGACCTAGGCAATATGTTTGTTAGCACTGGCCCAAATGGGAGGGAGGGAGGGAAAGGAGACATCTTAAGAGTTCTCCAGAATTCTTCAACACTGGTTGCCCTTGCAAGCCCTTATACATGATACAATAATTGCTTGTTTTATCTTGGACTCCATATGAATTAAAATTAACTTTCTTTTCCTTTTCTGAATTATATGTACTAAATTGGAAGCTCCAAGTTCACGGTGTTTCCAGGAACAATCTTTCATCCTCGGTTGGCATTTTTAATATCTTGACTCTTTTAACTTCAACATATTTGACAGAGGATATTTGAACGTATTTGAGTTGGTGAAAGTTACATTTCTGAAATAAGGTTTGAAATCATATCTAGGATATGAAAAAATAATTAGCGTGTATTATAACTGTGATGGCGAACCTATGGTGCGCGTGCCCAAAGTAGCATGTGAAGCCATGTTGCCTGGCATGCGTGACCTTGCCTGTTTGTCTTCTGGGTTTCTGGTGCGCCTGCGCCTGCGACGATCAGTTGTTGTGTGGGTTGCAGTGCCAAAAACTGGTGTCGGTATGCGTGCTGGCCAGCTGATTGTCAGGTGCGCATGCGCGCCAGAACCTGGAAGTTTGGCTTTTCCGCAGCACAGTCTCTTCACACACGAGGCAGTGCCGAAAACTGCATACTCGCCAGGCAGCTGATGTGCATACTTGCATACTTGCTGGCCAGCTGATTGTTGGGCGTGCATGCGCCCTAGAACCTGGAAGCTGAGCTTTTCCAGAGCGCGGCCATGATGTGCACGCGCACAACATTTCCATGTGACAGTGCCGAAAAGGTTCACCATCACTGTAATATAATATAGCTATCTTTAAAAAGTGGAATATATGTTAAGCATACTACCGTATATATGAGTTGTAAAGCTCTGGGTGTCCTGTAGATGGCAGCAAAGATACATAGTTTCTATATATTCTTGCTCACATCCAAATATTTTTCCAGCCCGACACAATCTGCCTATTCTATATATACTGCTGTGTAGATTTTTTTTCTTTGTACATAGCCTTTTCAGGATAGTGATAATACTAAATTAAGACTAAACATTCGTTGGGTAGGGCAGCGGTCCCCAATTTTTCAAGCTCTGTAGACTGGCGGTGGGCAGGGTGGGAAGAGGGTCTGGTTTTGCACACTTGTGCTTGCCTGCTGCTTGCGAGGCCCGGTTCCCAGTGGAACGGCTCTGAGCTTGGGGATTCCTGGTATAGGATATATAAACATATTGGTATCCATACTAAATCTTTTAACCTGTTAATGCTTTCTACTTTGCTTTGCATAATCTTTGTACTTTTTTATATTGACAGCTATTATGTGAGACTTTATTAAAGCCTTTTTTAATCACTGCACAGACTTATTTATACTCAAGAAAATGAATTTCTGTCTCTTTGTTAATATATTTCTGTTATCAGGTATCCTCCATGCTTTCAGAAATATGGTTTGTCAATATAATGGTTTTGTCAAATATGGTTTGTCAATATAAGTACAATTACATTGCATATGAATTTGATTTAACAATTTATTAAAATATGGGATATCGGTCAATTGTACATTTTATTGCAAATATTGTTAGTCATATCACTTTTCTGGTGCATTTTAAAATCAGATGGATAACAAATGTCTTGTTATGATTTATAGGGCAATAATAAAGCATACCCCATAGGAATTCCTTACAGGCACCTGGTATTAAATTTGGTAATGAAAGCATTCTTAGGAATTGTTAGTGTTTCCTGTTGTTTTCTAGACTATATAGAGTCTTACTACAGGGCATTTACCACAAATATTATAATTCAGTAAAATTCTCAAAATATAATTCAGTAAAATTCTCAAAATATGGCTGCTATCACAAATTAATTAAAAATTGTCCTTAATTCCCCCTAATGAAGGAAACATTTCATTTTAGGAGCTTTTACTCAGCACACAAGTTTTAAGATTGTGGACTACTGGGGAAGAAAGTATACTGTATGTTTTGAAAAAAAGAGAATTGATTTAGAGTACATTAATGTGCTAAAAGGCAGCGGGATCACTTACAAGTGTTAAAAAACAAGTTACTTGTCTCTACAAAATATACTTTATAATAGCTTGATTGTACGTTTGCACGACATCAGTAAAACAACTAAAACAATTTTAATTTGATTTTAGGAGAAGACCGATGTGGAAGGAACACTATTTGTGTATACAAGGTGAGACCGTTAAAATATTTTTTTCTGATTTAAAGTCGTTAAGTCATTCCATTCTCAAAGCAGAAAAGGAAGAGCAAAGAAATTAATTTTTTGAATCAGCAGTTGCGCATTTCAAAACATTATTTTCCTCTGGTGGAGTTATCAAACCACCACAAATAAAATACCCTCGCTTGGGTGTTAATAGGATGAATCGATATTTAAAATAACCTACTCGGCAAATTTATTATACCTTGGGACGAAATCCCTCACTGTGTCTCCTTTTAGAAAAATAGTAACATTGAAAGAATAGATTTCTTACAAGTATTACATAGCAGACAGTGGAAGATTACATTTATGTGCCTCTTTGTTTGGTGTAAAACTTTGCTGTGTTTGAGGGCCATGCCAGAGGGTCCCTACTAACAATCCAATTCTCCTCGGCAATCTTTTGATGCCATCATTCATGAGAATAATCTCATTCCTCCTCCGAAGTCAGAACTCTGCCTCCAGGCATGGAAGGGGATAGTTGAGGTTACCAGATCTGGCTGCAAAAATCAGGGCAGCAGGAAATTAATTTTTCGTGTTCCTTTGCTGCCATCTAGTGGTCATCCAGAGAGTTACAGCTGATAGTTGCTATTCAAGGGGAAATTGCTTCTGAGATCACGCTACAGGTAATCCTCGACTTACAACAGTTCATTTAGTGACCGTTCAAAGCCACAGTGGCACTGAAAGAAGTGACTTATGACCATTTTCCACAGTTAAGACTGTTGCGGCATCCCCGAGGTCACACGATCAAAATTCAGAAGCTTGAATGGCAACTGACTCATATTTATGACGTTTGCAGTGTCCTGGGGTCATGTGATCACCTTTTAGCCCCTTCTGGCAAGCAAGGTCAGAGTCCCTTAACAACCGTGTCACTAACTGAACAATTGCAGTGGTTCACTTAACAACTACGGCAAGAAAGTTTGTAAAATGGTGGCAAAATTCACTTAACAAATGTCTCACTTAGCTTAGCAACAGAAATTTTGGGCTGAACGGTGGTTGTAGGTCAAGGACCACCTGTATTTATACTAGGGGTGAAATGTAAAATTTGTTACTACTGGTTCTATGGGCGTGGCTTGGGGGGGTAATGTGACGGTGGGCGTGGCCAACTTTTTTTTTTTTTTTAACTTTTCAGAGCATTTTTTTCTAATGTTTTGAAAAGCCTCTGCCGATCAGGAAACTCGGCTGGGATCGTCAGAGACTTTTTAAAGCATTTTTTTTACCACCTCTTCGGCCAAGAAGTTGCAGAAAAAAATGCTTTGAAAAGCCTCTGACTATCCCAGCTGAGCCGCGCGATCATCAGAGGCTTTTTTTTTTTACTTTTAAAAGCATTTTTTCGTTGGAAGACGTAGAAAAAATGCTTTTAAAAGTAAAAAAAAAAAGCCTCTGATAATCCTGCGGCTCAGCTGGGCATGGTGTGTGTGTGGGGGGGAGGGGCGCAGGGATTTTTGCTACTGGTTCTCCGAACCACCTGCCGCCATCGCTACTGGATCAGGCGATCTGGTCCAAACCAGGAGCATTTCACCCCTGATTTATACCCTTCACTTCAGTGGGTGGGTTGGGCGGTTTGGGGCTTCTGAAGCACAACCTCCTCTCCCCTCCTGTAAAACTCCTGCTTACTTTGATCCCGTTCACATTTTACATTTCCTATATTTATTTATTTAAAACCCTGGTGAGCCCTGGCGGCGCAGCAGACTAAAGCACTGTTATTAACACCAGCTGCCTGCAATTACTGCAAGTTCAAATCTCACCAGGCTCAAGGTTGATTCAGCCTTCCATCCATTCAAAGGTAGGTAAAATGAGGACCCAGATTGTGGGGGCAATAAGCTGACTTTGTATAAATATATACAAAAGTATGAAGGCTATTGCTTAACGCATTGTAAGCCGCCCTGAGTCTCCGGAGAAAGGCGGCATATAAATCAAATTTTAAAAAAAAACATTTATGTAGCTGCATATTTTATAATAGACCCTGAGTGGCTCCCATTCAAAAATTAAAGCTTTTTTTTTTTTGCAATGAATATCCAGTGCGGGGGGCAGGGAAAAAAATACTATGACCCCCCCCCCCCCCCCCCGTCTCCCCCCATGTGACCTGCTTAAAGCACTCTTGTAAGAAAACATTCACAATAAACTGAATTGATTCTGAGTGGCAACGTGGAGAATCCAGGCACCTGTGACCAAATTGTTTCTATTCACTACCCTAGCATACTGAAGGAATAAGTCATAATAAGGAAAGTAATAAGGAAATCAGTCTCTGTGTACATGCATATAGCTATACTTTCTCCGCAACAGATATGAATTCTACAGTAAATGTTAATGAACGTTTTACTCTGGAGGTGTTGTTTTTTTTAAAATTCCGGTTTGACCAATCATACTTTCTCTTGCCATCTCCTCTCCCCCACCTCCTCCCCCCCCCCAAACTTAACCCACTTCCTTTTATAAACTAAATATCTATACATCTCATTTTAAAATACTGCTTGTTAGGGCCCTTTAATTTTTCTGCATATAAAGGGAAGTGGAAATATTACGATAAATAAATAGCAAATGTGAACATTTAGTTTTTATCAGAATATAGGTTATGTAACTGGGCATCGACTGCAAGTTGCTAGGAATTTTGGGATTGCAGTGGTTAATAATCAAAGGAAGGAATGATACCGAATGCTTAAGAGTATCTGAATTTGGTTTCTCGGCAATATCAGCCTGGAGCTTATTTAGCCTGAAGCGAGAGGCCATTTTAAATCTAATAAATAAAATAAAATGATCCCCATCCTATTTGCTTTGCTTATGAAGTATTCACAAACAAATATTTGTAAAATTCACACATTTTGTTCTTGAAAAATAACTGGTTCAGAGTGTTTAAAAATAGAAGGCATGGTGATGACAGATTGTATCTTGCAGCTGTGGCTATTTGGATAATTAAACTGGATTAGAGATTGCTGCTGCTAAAATTGAGGGGCAGACAAATGCGATTTAAAATATTAGAAGTTATCCTATTGGAGGTGACAATTAAACAAAGTGAACAATCTGGAGATTGGACGATGCCTCGATTGTTATTGTGTTTGGTTTCTTTCAGTTCCATTTTTGTTTCATTTTTGTTTGGTTGCCTTGTTTCATGTATTGTACATTCCGTCTCCTGGCTCAGAATGTCCCCTGGGACTCTCAACTTGAAACACTTCCCAGATATTTATTCTGATTCTTTTCAGTGGTATTAAATTTGGGTTCAGATTAAAATGTCCCATTAGTTTCAATTGCTGTGTGCTGAAAATGTACAGGGAAAAAAAGGAGAAACGGTGACAAAGCATCTATAGAATAAATTTCTTCTGTATCAATTCTTGTACTAAGATAGTAGGGCAGTTGGCCTGCAATCCTACAAGCCTTGGATAAGAAATAAGGCTTATTCTAAGTAAAAGCCATAGCTTTATGCTTTACATGGGGGAGAATCAAATGAATACTCTGGAAGGAGGCTTCAAGATTGTAAATATAAATTTGGGGACAATGCAACATTATTACTCTGCAAAGCCTTTGCTAGGATTATGCACACTCTACTGTTTCAAGGTATGCCACTAATAATTATATAAGTGTAAAACAACATTTAGGTCAAATACCATTCATTAAAGAAACTACTTTCTGAAAGATGATTCAGTGATGATATAAAATCAAGTGGTTGGGAAATAGCTTAATTATAATCGGATGGGTCAAAAGAATCAAGATAGTGTCTTGACAATTTGTGATTATATGACGTATGTATGTATGTATGTATGTATGTATGTATGTATGTATGTATGTATCTACCTACCTACCTACCTACCTACCTACCTACCTACCTACCTACCTACCTACCTACCATGTTTTCCCCAAAACAAGACATCCCCTGATAATAAGCGCAATTGGGCTTTTGAGTGCATGGCGTAAGGCCAAGTGCTTATTTCAGGGTTCAAAAAAATATAAGACAGGGTCTTATTTTCGGGGAAACACGGTGTCTTTCTTTCTGTCTGTCTATCATATATATATATATATTATATTATATATATATATATATGTATCTTTTTTCTTTTTTCATAGGCTTTTATGTGCATATTCTTTCTAGCCAGGTTTTACCTATGTAAGCTAAGATGTTCTACAGCCCTGGTTCTGTGAAATCTCATTCACAAGTTTCTGGGCTTTTTGTTTCTTGCTGACAAACAGCAACTCTGTGCTGCTCTTTGGGAGACTCAGATAGCTATTTCTGCCTCATAAGGCGTCATCAGTGAGCCACACCCTCTTCTCAGGTATCCTCCCTGTAAAGATACAATATTTCTTTTTCTTTTTCGTAGGCTTTTATGTGCATATTCTTTCTAGCCAGGTTTTACCTACATAAGCTAAGATGTATGTATGTATATAGTGTTTACCGAGACATCTGGTCTACCCCAACATGTGGGAGGGGGCATTCTGCATAATATCTTGGTTTACGTAGGTAGAACCTGCAGTTGGAGATTATCAGTGGCAGGTCCCTCATATCAGGAGCCATCCTGTATATACAGTTCCTTTGTAGCTGAGAATAAATGACCATGAAGAATCATTTCTACATCTATATTTGATTGCTTTCTTGCATAGTTCCAATATTTGAATGACAGACTAGCTACAGACGCATAATCTTGGTATTCACTAGGAATCAGGGATTGTTTGTTTACTCTCACAACATTGCCAATGCCGTGGGATGCAGACATGTTCTCCCCTTCCTATGCTACTGCCTGAACCTCTTTCATCACACACACCCCAATGGAGATTTTTTCCAACGTTTTTAAGGGGGAAACAGGTTGCACACCAGGCATGTGATTGTTCGATCAGTCTGCTACTTGGAGCCAGATCGTAGCTATGTAAGCAACAATATCCCATGTTTACTCAAGAGTTGGCCACTTTAAAGCAGTTTCTGGACAACAATCTGAAGAAACTATTTGCCCTCTTGGCATTCATTGAATCTACACCATAATTTTTGTTAAAGAAAAAGAAGATAATTTTTCCTTGAAACCCGTTTATGACTTTCAACTTCTCAATTTTCTGACCATTAGCGAACATTATCCACTGCTTCTTTTTTTCAGAACTGCTGGGCTTCAGAAAGCACATGTTTTTACTAAGTTGGACTTGAGAGCAGCTTGCAATTCAATTTGAATGAAGGAGGACCATGAATATTTAACAGTCTTTGACCCTTATTACAGACGAGTTTGAGTAGAGCTTTTTGGTCTAGTTAATTGCCATACTGTCTTTTCCAAATTCATGAATGAGATATTCTGGACAAATACGTCTAGTTTACTCAGATGACATTTTGATTTATTCAGAGGATCGTTGCATTTGCTCGTGTCAGGAATATGTTAAAGCATCTATGCAAATACAGGCTCTGTGCCAAGTTGGAAAGTGGCAGCTGATCTTCCAGCATAGGACACAAGGAATGCAGATGGATCTGGCCAAGGGGCAACCTATTCTTACATAGCAGAGACCTAGAAATATTAAGGATGTCCAACTTTGGGGGTTTTGGGCCAACTTTTATAATTGATTCTTTCCAGATTTTTCTAAGTGTAGAAGATGACTAACTCAGCTTCTGAAAAAAAGATGGCAGTTTTAAAGGTCTATCTACTCAAGAACAGGCATCTTTTCATGACTTGAAGCTTCACTTGTCCTCCTAGCCTCGGCTCCACCATTCAGATCTCAGCTGGCCCTTTGTTGTGCCTAGTGATGCCTTGAATTCTTCTTTGAGTTATGGCTGCACTTTAGTCAAGAGGTCTCCTCCTGATTGAGTGGAAACTGTGATCATAAGAAGTTTTCTCTCACTTTAACTTCGTGTAGAGAGTCATAGAGATGTCCCTTGAAAAACTATGAAGAGGCGGTTTCAACAATATCTTCAAAAACATACTTTAAGCCCAGAAACAAAATATTAGGAACAAATTAACACTGGGCCTGCCTTAACTCTCTTGAGTATAAGACTATACTCTAAGTCAGTCTTTCATGATTCTTTTACTATAGCAATAGCACTTAGACTTATGTACCGCTTCGCAGTGCTTTATAGCCTTCTCTAAACAGTTTACAGAGTCATATTGCCCCCAACAATCTGGGCCCTCATTTTACCGACCTCAGGAGGATGGAAGACTGAGTCAACCTTGAGCCGGTCAGGATCGAACTCCTGGCGGTCGGCAGAATTAGCCTGCAATGCTGCATTCTAACCACTGCACCACCATGGCTCTAATGTTGGCACCAATATCAATAAATATAATTCCAATCAAACCTGTGGAGTCTGTTTCCTGATCTGGCCTACTTTGAAGGACTAGTTTTTTTACTTTACCGCTGTTCCTAGTTTACAAGATTAATTGCCAGATACTTCTGTTGTGCAAACACAAATTTGATGTTCTCTATGCGTCCTCTCCTGTCACAATTTTGAAGTCTGGTAATTTTAAGTCTCCCTTCTGGGAAGGGATATTTCTGAGATATTGGAGGTGGCAGATAGTGAATCTTTTCAATCAGATTTACTTATAACAAGAGGATCTGTACGTCAAGGTTCCAACAGATGGCTTCCATGGAACCACGCAGATTGATTCTCCTTTTTTCTGTGGCTGAAGAACTTTTTCACAATGGTCATTTTTATGTTCCTCTTCCCCTCTGGCAAGAGGTGTTGCAATTTAGCCGTGATAATATGTACAGAAATAACCTTGAAGAAGGAATGCCAGAGCAATAAAGCTCTTGGGAGCTCTGGGTTCAGTCCTGAGAAAGAAGTAAGAATGAGAAAGAAACTCAGAGTTTCTTCCATACAAGAGGTGGGTTTCAGCAGATCCTGACCAGTTCTGGAGAACTGGTAGCGGAAATTTTGAGTAGTTTGGAGAACCGGCAAATACTACCTCTGACTGGCCCCACCCCCATCTATTCTCTGCCTCCCGTGTCCCAGCTGATCAGGAGGAAATGGGGATTTTGCAGTAACCTTCCCCTGGATTGGGGAGGGAATGGGGATTTTACAGTATACTTCCCCTGCCACGCCCACCAAGCCATGCCATACCCACCGAGCCACACCCACAGAACCGGTAGTAAAAATTTTTGAAACCCACCACTGTTCCATACCCCCTGTTCTTTCTCAGAATTGAACTGATGTTTTACTTATCACCCATCTCCTCCCACTTATGACTGTATGACTGTAATCTTGTTGCTGCTATCCTTACGATTTATATTGATATTGTTTCCTGATTGTGTTGTACCTTATGATTCTTGATGAATGTATCTTTTATTTTATGTACACTGAGAGCATATGCACCAAGACAAATTCCTTGTATGTCCAATCACACTTGGCCAATAAAAATTCTATTCTATTCTATTAAGTGGTCTTGCATTACTTCTTCATGGTTATCTCTATACTCTGTGTAATAAAAATGCAAGGAATAGGGTTGTTTTTTAGTCATTGCATCTTTGGTTAAAGATTTCATGTCATGTCTGTCATAGAGTCGAGGATGTATCTGCTAAGCCTACCAGTTCGCTCTAGCTATTACATTCCACCATTGGATGACAGGATACAATTTCCCTGGACTTTATCATTGATTTCCCAGATGTGCAGAGTTTTACGACCATTCTACTGATCGTGGATCCATTTAGAAAGGTGGCTCATTTTATTACTTCTAAAGAGCTACCATCTGCTCTGGAAACCGCATTAACTGTTTTCAGGGGCTTAGTAAATGGTGTGACCTCATCTCACGGCTCTCAATTTACATCTCAATTCTGCAAAGACCTTTTTCAATTACCGGACATTAATATTCATCGATCATCGGCACATCACCAAGAATTGAATGGGAATATCGTGCAGAATAATGCAGTATTAAAATAATATTTGAATTGCTAACTATCCCATCCATAGAGCACTTGAACAGACTTGTTGCGATTTGCAAAATTTGCATAATAGCAACTCTGCATTCCTCTCCTGCCATGGCTCCTTCCAAGCAAATTGTGGCTTTCGCCCACACTGTTTATCCTCCAGATTCCTGCTTCTTTGAGCTTCTGATTTCCCAAAGGGAAAGACGCATCACAGCTCATCTTAAGGGAACAGTTAGATTTGGATAAGGGTAGAACTACAAGCGGGGACTTCAATGGGACCGCTAAGGGGGAATTAGTCATTTTTCATTCAGTTTCTACCTTCTTCCCATCAGTCCAAGAAACTCAATTCAAGGTTTTTTGGGGGCCCTTCCCTGTGAGAGCTCAAATCAGCCTGGCAGGCTTTCGTTTGTAATTGTCCACTATTGTGAAATACAGCGTTTCAGTTTTTAGATACAGAAGAAGGTTTGAAATACTTAAATCACTGGAAGGGCTATCTTGACATAGAACGATAGTGGGAAGTGGAGATGGACAGGGAGTCCTCACTTAACGACCATTTGTTTAGCAAAATTATGGTGTATCAGCCTTCCCAGATAAGCCAGACAGGAAACATGACCAACTCTGAGAAGCAAACTGTTCCATTGATTAATTGCTCTTTATTCTAAATGTCTCCTTCATTCCAGGTAGAATCTCTCTTTAATGAGCTTCCACTCATTGCTTCTTGTCCTGCCCTCGGATGCTATGAAGAATAAGTCAACCCCTTCATCTCTTTGATTGCCTCTCAAGTACTGATACTTGAGGCAGTAAGTCTTCGTCAAAGTTAACATTTTTGAGAGAATAACAATTTCCTCGAACTCTCAAAAATTGCTGATTATAAAAGTGTTGGTACAGTACTTTTGAAAATATTTGTCATTTATTATTTATTTATTTATTAGTTTGATTTATATGCCGCCCTTCTCCGGAGACTCAGGGCGGCTTACAATGCTTTTAAGCAATATTATATTGTCATACTATAATTGAATTATTTTTAGTAGATAGTTGATGGTTTCAATATTGGTAATTTTCAGATCAGCTTCGCCCAAGTATGGATTTACCATTATGAATAGGCTGAGCATGGAAAATCGGACAGAACCCATAACAAAAGATTTGGATTTCCAGTTGCAGGATCCTTTCCTACTCTACAGAAATGCTAAATGTGAGTAATTTACTAACACATGAGCAAAATGAACCGTTATATAAAATGGCTTTCTTATACACTGCTTCTAAACAATCTCATCTATTTAGAAAAGCATGTTTCAGTAGTTTATCAAGGAGCATATTTCAGTACCTCGTAGAAGAGATTGTGAATAAGAAAATCGTGAAGTTTTTTTTTCCTTCTTAGACTGCACTCTGCAGTCCCCTACAGCCGCATAATAAATAAGCCCTATTTCATAGAATAGGGCAAATTTCTGTAAACAACCGTTAAGACAGTATTTTAAATATTGCTAAGAATTACACTGTATGTTTTCTATAGTTCTTTAGCAAGATTCCAAAATAGAATGTAAACGAGGTGCTCAAGCAAGTAGACTCAGTTCTGTCAGTCAGTTCTCCGAAATTCTGGATTAGACAAACGATGTAAAATTTAGGAGGGTAAATTGTCCTGAAGAATGGCTGACTTGCATTCATTTCCTTCTGATTATGAAAGCAATTATATTAAGGAAAAAGTGGACTTGTAAACTAGGTATTAATAGTCTACACCAGGAGTGTCAAACTTGATTTCATTGAGGGCTGCATCAGGGTTGTGTTTGACCTAGGAGACTGGGGTGGGTGGCCAGCTCAACGTCACTTGTGTCGGGGGTGCCTCTGGTGGCCTGAGCAAAATCGGGCTCTCGACTCCATTTTCAGGTGCGCCAGCCTCCCACAACCCTCTGCCAGCAAAAACGGAGCTCGGGAGGGCCACCTGCGGCCAGTCCTTTGCTGTTTCCAGGGTGGCACACAGATTAAGAAAGCTGCTGTTAGAAAAGGTAACTGGAAAACAGGCAAGGAGATACAGGTAATCCTCGATTTATGGCCGCAGTTGAGCCCAAAATTTCTGTTGCTAAGCAAGGCAGTTAAGTGAGCTTTGCCTTATTTTATGACCTGTCTTACCACAGTTGTTAAGTGAATCACTGAAGTTGTTAACGTTGGTAACACAGTTGTTAAATCAGACTTTCCCCATTGACTTTGCTTGTCAGAAGTCACAAAAGGTGATCACATGACCCCAGGACATTGCAACCGTCATAAGTAGGAACCGATTGCCAAGCATCCAAATGGCAATCACTGACCACAGAATGCTGCAATGGTCGTAAATGTGAAAAATAGTTATAAATCACTTTTCAGCGCCGTTTAACTTTGAACAAATGATTGTAACTCACTAAACAAATGATTGTAAGTCAAGGACATCCTGTATGCGCTTCAGTCTCTCCTCCAGATTCTCCCTCCCAAAGGTGTTTAAAAGACAAATGGCACTGGAGTTCATTTTAGTAATACATGGAAAGCCTCCTGTTTTAAGGAATTTTATGGAAGAGGACCCCTAACACTTTTGAACACTTTTGAGCATATCAACTCTTGAAGAAGTTGAGAAAAATTAAATTGTGTGGTGGCTCAGTGGCTAAGACGCTGAGCTTGTCGATTGAAAGGTCGGCAGTTCAGCGGTTCGAATCCCTAGTGCCGCATAACGGGGTGAGCTCCCGTTACTTCTCCCAGCTTCTGCCAACCTAGCAGTTCGAAAGCACGTAAAAAATGCAAGTAGAAAAATAGGGGCCACCTTTGGTGGGAAGGTAACAGCGTTCCGTGCACCTTTGGCGTTTAGTCATGCTGGCCACATGACCATGGAGACGTCTTTGGACAGTGCTGGCTCTTCGGCTTTGAAACGGAGATGAGCACCGCCCCCTAGAGTCGGGAACGACTAGCACATATGTGTGAGGGGAACCTTTACCTTTACCTTTAGGTGACTAATGTTTCAATAGGAGAAAAATATATATGTAGTGAGAACTGAATTGTGGAATACTTGGTGCAGCAAACATCCAAATAAGCAGGGATTAACACCAGGCAAACAATCCAACAAAAAACAATACCTTCATCAAGGATCTATCCAAAAGAAAACCAAGCACCATCACCACTGGCAGGGCAGTGTTTATATATATAAATAGAGAGCAAATCTGATGTTACCTACTTGGGGAATGCAACATCTGCAAGCAAACAACCAAGCCCAGAGAACATCAAGGACTTTACAAATATTTTTTCTTCACAGATTTTCTACTCCTAAATATATATTAAGTAAATATATATTTAGGACTGGTGGTCCCTCATCCAAGTAATAATACGTAGGATCCCAGAGATACGTAGGATCCCGGATCTGCGCACCTTCCGCCGCACGCTTAAGACTTTTCTGTTTCATCAAGCTGGCCTGGCCTAAATCTTCCCCCTTTTTAAATGTGGTAATTTTAAATGTGGAAATTTTAAATTTTAAATTTGTCTTATTTATAGGGTCATGGGTAAGGCGTTTTAAATTGGGGAGCCATTTTGGATTTAATTCTGTTTTAAACGTATTTTAATGTTTATATTGTATGTTTTTAATTTTGGCTGTTCACCGCCCCGAGTCCTTTGGGAGAGGGGGCGGTATAAAAATCTAATAAATAAATAAATAAAAATAAATAAATAAATAAATAATACTTCTAGATTTTCAAGATCAGTCAAGGTCAGCTAAGGTATTGCTGTCCTAGCTGGGTCCAATAAAACAAAAAGATTGTTAAAAGATTGTAAAAAGAAAGTAATTAAGGGTTTTTTGTTTTATTTTCTCATGTTATGAAAGAGCTGTTTATATAGACAAAGAGCTTGACAAATATCTCAGTTTAATATGCTAAGATATAATCTTCTGAAAGCAATCTTGTTTACTTTTACTGTTAATCACTTAGAATATATTGTTTGCTGTTTTCCTTCAGTGAACATTTTCCTTATTCCAGTTCAAAATGTTTATTCAAAAAATAGTTTCATTTCATCTGTAAGTACAAATAAACTCAATAATAGCTATTTTCTTGGTCTAGCTAACTGTAGCTGGGAAGCAAAATTATTGCTTACTGTAAGAAAATTACCTTTTTATGCCCTTAAATAGGCTAGTACTTAAATTCTATGAACTATATTTCAGATATGTATAATTTTGACTAACATTCTGTCTGCATTTTAATGCTGGTTAACCTTTCTTTATATTATAAAACGAGAACGTGGTATTTTAAATAAATTTTTAGAAATAAGTAATTTTAAAAAGTAGGTGGATTATTCATTGGAAATATGTGATGTAAATTAGGAGTTGGCATTACACAGACCTCGTGATTTTGGATTAAAACCCATCAATCACTATTGGCTGTGCTAGCTAAGTCTGGTGAGAATTGTAGTTTCTTGATATTTAGAGAACATGTACATATGTGTATTATTATTAGATTTTTAATGGCTAGTTTTGAATTCTGAGAGTTGAAGTCGCAAGCAGTCGCAAAAGCGGATCACATGACCCTGGGACACTGCAACCGTCATAAATATGAACCAGTTGTCAAGTGATTAGGATTAGGGTGCCCGAATTTTGATCACGTGACCATGGGGGTGCTGCAGTGTGTGAAAAATGATCTTTTTTTTTAGTGCCGCTGTAATTTTAAACAACCACTAAATGAACTGTTTTAAGTTGAGGACTACTTGTAATACTCTTGAACTGCAGCAATTATAGGTGTTCCTGCTCAAGACTAGAACTCAAACATTCCCCCTCCAAAATCTCAAGGTCAGTGACACCATCTAGGATTTTAAAAATCCAGGTACTGTAAGGGCAAACCTGCCTTCTTGACATTTTAAAGAACTGCTATGTGTCACCGCAAACATGATAGATTAACTAGTCTCAGCAGTTTTGTATATAGTGACAAAAATATCAAACCAACCGATGTTTTGTTTCCTTTATTTCTCTTGCATATATATATATATATATATATATATATCCCTGTCTTATATTTTTTTGAACCCCGAAATAAGCACTTGGCCTTATTTTGGGGGAGGTCTTACTATTTTGGGGCTCGTGGAACAAGATTGGGCTCCTCTTGCTGTTTTATCTGATTTCCAGCTCTGTGTTTGAATATTTTCAGGGACGGCTTATTTTAGGACATGCGCTGAAAAGCCCGATTGGGTTATTATTAGAGGATGTCTTCGGGGAAACATTATGCAGTGGTGGGATTCAGCCAGTTCTCACCATTTCAGGAGAACCGGTTGTTAACTTTCTGAGCAGTTTGGCAAATTGGTTGCCCTTTATGTGTAGTCTGGAAAAGCCTAGAACTAGTGAATTGTGATTTGTCTGGAAAAGCTTAGAACTAGTGGATTGTGATTTCACTGAGCTATGGCAGCATTTGAAAATCTTAGTTTACGTAGGAAAATACCCGGCTGAGGAGAAAAATATATGTATGTATGTATGTATGTATGTATGTATGTATGTATGTATGTATTTATGTGTATATATATGTGTGTATATGTGTGTGTGTGTGTGTGTGTATATATAATATATATATATATATATACACACATATATACGTATACACACATGCATATACATATACATACACATACATACATATACATACATACATATACTTACACACACACACACATATGTATGTATGTATGTAAACTGTTACCTCAACAACATGTAAGTTTATGCCTAATTCAGATGTAGAGGTTTTAGTCTACAACTTCATGCTTAATACTGTATCAGAGTAAAACTCTGCCATGTGAGAAGAGATGAATTCAAGAGCCTAAGATAACAAAAGTATGCAGACTGTCAGCAGTTAGCGCCAGTTTTGCATTGGGTACTTTTTCCAGCTTCATTGTAGAGTTTCTAATCCATGCGAAAGATTATGTGATGGAATTTTATTTCGTTTAGCTTTTTAAAGATGTGAGAGAGATTCATACGAGCAATTAATGCATTTAAAAGTGTTTCCCCTTCATGAAATTCAGCACATAGGTAACATTTCAGTTTGTTTGAAAATTTGAGGGATTGTGGCGTTGGTGTTGGAATATACTACTAGGTGGGAGAATTCTAGACATTTCTTAAAGATAAGATAGACCACATTAAGCAGACATTAGTAGAAGTTGGAATACCGCTTTATATTTAAGAAGGATATTTCAAATGTCTTTCTATTTGTGTTCTATTCTGCCATTGAATCCTTACAGGCAAAAGTGATTTTATGCAACAAGATAAAAATCAGTCAAAATTTGGTGTGACTTTACCTACTAAATACTATTGAAATATGAAAAGAAAAACTGTAATATTTGAAAATCAATCTTTTCTTACATCTTTAAAAGACACGGCTGCCATTCCTTAGGCTGTTATTACATTTTAAGTCACAAGGCACAAATTGCAATTTTAAATTTAAAAAAGAATAAATGGGAAGGGTTTGGAGAAATGACAAGCTTCAAAAGAATAGCCAGATTTTTTTTTTCTGCAGAAAAAATAAGAACAAAACTGTACATGGAATTGATGTACATGAAATTTTTAATCTTAAAATGTATAAATCACCTCTTTTGAATTAGATTATAGCCTGTACGTTCTAATCCCAAGTATATTAGTCAGTGCAAAGCAATTCTTTATTTTGGTATATAGCAGTATAACTCTTTTACTATAATATCGTAAAATCTATAATTTATTTTCATATTCCCCTCGCAAATTCACTGTAGAATCTTCTCTGGATAGAAGCGCTTTCATATTAAAATTAATATTTTGGCTTGCTGAGCCTGGATTGCTCTGAAGACAACTATTAGAAAATATATAATCTGAACTCTAAACATGGCTCTTCACTACCCCAAAATTATAATTATGTTTATACCTGTATCTGTCATAAAATACATGCGTATTTGAATTTGAACCAAATATACCACCATCAAGTAAGAATTTTTATTTTTGTAGAACACATTACTGTGAATCCTTACCTCCAGGTGGAATATAGAAGCAGCTGAGTTGAGTTTCATGAACCATCTTGCCTGCATATTTCACTCCAGGTTCCCCTGGCTGATGTGTAGGTAGTGGACGATATGCTGAGGTTGCTTTCCTTACGAGGGTCTGAAACATCTTCTTCTGAATTCACAATCCAGATAGATAAAAACGGATAAATAGCAGGAACGGTTCTCTAACTTAACGCTATGCAAAAAAAAAAAAAAGCTATCTGGTCAAAAGTAGTCAGATTGCCACAAAATATGTGATAATAGCCAAATTGGGTTAATGCTCCTCCTCCCCCAAATACTATTAGGAAGGCACTTTAAGTAAAATTCTGTGCATGTTTTTTTTTCCCTTTTTCTTTTTAGGTTTTCCTTCCAGACTGTTCTTTAAAGCCTGTGTCTTATGGTTGCTTGCAGTCCCTTTCTCCTTCGGTTAGTTTTACAGGAAAACTTATATTGAGAAGTGGAGTTAATGGACTCCATCTGCCTGTCAGTTCATCACCTCCCTGAGTCATGGAGGCCTCTGGTTGTCATACATCATCACCACCGTGGCAGTTTCTGATAACACAGCCTTGTTTTTTGAAGATAGAGTTTTTGGGTTTTCTGGGTTTCGCCTAGTAAGAGAACATATTTCCCCCCTAGCCGTACGTTGTATAGAAAGATATCGGAACCAGAGCGATTGAGTTATGACGTAAGACGAGGGAACTTATTGAGTCAAATATGCAATACCGAACATGCAGGGGCATTTCCTGATCCTTTTACATATATGCCTTGATATAAAGGGTTTGTTCCAGGGCAGCGCCTTCAGATATTTTCCAGCAATTAAAAAAATAAGTGAAGGATAGCATCCCCTTAAAAGGAAAGGCATGCAGTCCATTTTGTCATGATGCAACCTTTCTAGTGAAATTATCTGGAGGTTGCAAGTGCCTTCACAGACTGAGCTCAGGAGATGGTAAAGAGGCTCAGTTGTTTTGTTTCTTGGGAACATAAATCATGCAGTGGCCAACACGGCCTTTGCTTTATTTTAAGGCTTCCCAGATTGATGAATGCAAGTGTATCTCGTCTCCTCCAGACCAGAGAGAGAGAGAGAGACAGAGAGTCTTCTTGTAAAATATTCTTTCTAATTGTATATCCCAGTGATAGCTAACCTTTTTGCCATCGCATGCCAAAAGCGGGGGGAGTGGGGGGAGTTGCGCATACTTGTACCCATAATTCAACCCCCCCATGCCCTCCTGTGCATGCGTGTGTGCCCCCCCACCGCCCCCGAAAAGGTTACCAGTGGGCCCGGTAGGCCTGTTTTTCGCCCTCCCCTGGCTCCAGAGGCTTTCTTGGAACCTGGGGAGGGTGAAAATGGCCTCCCCTACTCCCCCAGGAGGCCCTCTGGAGGCCGGAAACAGCCCGTTTCCCGACTTCCAGTGGGCCCGGAAGGCCCAAAAATCAGCTGGCTGGCGCATGCATGCGCGCTGGAGCTGAGCTAGGGCAATGCTCACATGCCCACAGATATGGCTCCATGTGCCAACTGTGGCACGTCTGCCATAGGTTCGCCATCACGGGTATATCCTAACAGGCCTCTGGGCTTTCTTTGAAATTCCCCTTGTTTCTGTTTTTGAGAACAGAATTTAAGGGACCTTTAAATTTAAAGGACCACTTTGCTCTTCTGAGCCCATGATCTTGGGATATATCGATCAATGGTCTTTTCACCAAGGAGAAGAAGCCACAGTACAGCATTATTAAGTCAGTGCCAGAGGTGGTATTCACTTACCTTTGCTACCGGTTTGTAAATGTGAGCGCGCACGCGCGCTTTGCTCACACACAACACCTCTGCGCATGCACAGGACCTTCTGCACATGCGCAAAGCATCAAAAATGGGACGTGATGGCGTACGGGTGGGTGGGCGGAGCCTCCCGCAGTCACCGCTACCAGTTCGCCCGTACCGGATAGAACTAGCTGAATATCACCACTGGTCAGTGCATACTTTTGTAGCTGTGTATTTACTTACAGCCACATATCCACCACAGATTTCCTGATTATATAGGGAGATTTCTAATCTATATCTGGTTATATTTGGGCAAGATGGACTTGACTTGTTTCGTGGCTCTGTTTTAAGTCTTTCTTTTTGGATCCAGAATGTGAAGTGTGTTAAGTGGTATTTGGCACCCATTAGAAAATATGCAACTGCACCTAAGTTTGGGCAAGTGCATTGCAAAACAATAAGGCTCTTCATCAAGTAAAACAGGAGAAGATGTGTCCCACTGATATATTTGAGCTTCTTAAGGAGATGCGAAAACATGGAAGGGTTACTTTTTACATGCAGTACATATAGTTCTCAAGTTACAACAGGTTGTTTAGCAATGGTTCAAAGTTATGCCAGCCCCCCAAAGTTACTTATGACCCAGTCCCAAAGTTAGGTCTGTCGCAGCACTTCTGCAGTCATTCATCCTTGTAACCGACTGCAGAGATGCTACAACATGTCCCCTCCCCCGCCCTTTCTATTTCTTCACCATCCTGCCCTGTTGGCAGGGTGGATTTGATTTAAATCGAGTTGATTTAAATCACAATTTAAATCGTGATTTAAATCACTAATAAAAAGGCTTGATTTAAATCAACTCGATTTAAATCATAATTTTTAAAGAGCAACTGTCATCTCTGCTACTCCTTTGACCCACTGTTGACTCACCGATAGTCCCAGTGTTGCAGAATATACAGCCTCATGCTACATAACTAAGCTCCATTTCATGCTGAATAAACTAAATTATTTATGTATCTTAAATAGAAAACTATCTTACGATAGATTTTTACCCCAAAAGTTTTTTATTAAAATAAATTCGATTTAAATCAAAAAAATCCGATTTAAATAAAAAAAATCTGATTTTTTTGATTTTTTTAAAAAAAATCATTGATTTTTATCCACCCTGCCTGTTGGGTCCCCTAGGCACTGAGTCTGCTTTGCCACTCCACTCCTCTCCACCCGTCACTGATTACTCACCTACCTTTTGAAGCTCTCCAGAGCTCCATTACTGGGCCACATAGCAGAATTCCACCAGCAGCCATCACTGAGGGGTGGGAAGGCTGGTGACTAGCAAGGAAAGGAAAACCCAAGAGCTTTGCCAGCATCTCAGAAAAAAGACGACTGCTTGTGGAATTCTGCCATGTGGCCCAGCAATGGAGTGGCTTGTCCTTCTTCCGCACCCCAATCTTCTGGAGACTTCAAAAGGTAGATGAGCAATCGATGATGGTGGTGGTGGTTGGAGGGGCGGGGAGGAGGCCCAAGCGGCTTTGGAGACCACAAGGTGTGGGAAGCGGAACATGGGGTATCTCGGGTTGGGGAAGGCCTTGGAGGCTGGAGGTAGGTGGGCTTGTGCCTGGGTTAGAGACTCTCCTACCCCGCACCTCATATTCTACTGAATGACCCCTACATTTGTTTAACAAATGTATTGAGGGTAGTAGGATAGGGACTTGTTAAGTCAGGTGGTTCAGTTAACACCCTCCCAACTTTTGATTGTAATGGGTAGACTCCATTATGGTTGTAACTCAAGGGTTCAAATCTCACCAGGCTGAAGGTTGACTCAGCCTTCCATCCTTCCGAGGTGGGTAAAATGAGGACTCAAATTGTTGGGAGCAAACAATATGCTGACTCTGTAAACTATTTAGAAAGGGCTGTAAAGCACTGTAAAGTGGTATATAAATCTAAATGCTATTGCTATTACCTGTATTAGTAATGAATTCTTAACAGGAGATGAAAGATGGAGAGTTCATCTGTAAACTAGTATCCTGTTCTGGCCAAAGGGAAGATTTATTTGTTTAATAAATAAATAAAATAGAAGGAAGATCAGCCACAGTTGAGAAACAAGTGTCACGCTGTTTCTCCAACTCACGTAAGTGGATTCTGGTTTATGTCTTCCTGCTTGTCTGAACATGGAATAAGCTTGTTCTCACTCCTGGCAAAATGTTTTTGCTTTGTCTGCTTTATTAGGTGCAAGAGTCCCTCCTGTGAATACAATATGGTCGATTTTTCTTCTTCCCTTTAGACCTATGTTGATGGGCAGCGTATTGTTTGTTCCAGATATGACTTGCTTTAATAGCATCCTTTAGATATAGTTCTATTTTAAGAGAGTCCATTTTTTTTTAATATTTTAGATCTGTAGCCCAAGCAATTGGATGGCTTGATTTATGTTATGATAAATAGAAAGGGATTGATTCACACCTTGTGTGGCTTTAACATTATTGGAAAATGTTATAGGGAAATACGTAATAAACATTTCTTATTAGAAACATTGCTTATAGAAATAAGCTTATTCTTGGATTTCCCAAGGACCTTATAAATAACAATGAACGATTTTTCCTATATCCCCCATCTTTGTATTCAAAAAGAACACAACTAGCAGATGTTTCTGTTAGCATAGACTTGATCAGCTCATGCAGAAACATCACATCTGCTTTTCCATATGGCAACTGGGCTCATATGTTGGCTAGAACCAAGGTTTATTTATCCATGATTTATTGATTGAACTATAATTACTTTATAGTTTGCACAGCAAGCTAAGCAACAAATCATAATTGATAGGTCGCAGTAGTTGATTCAAACAGCATTCTAGGCCAAAGCCAAACTACATCGTCAATTCAATATTTATATCTGGCCATTGCGAAAAAGCAATGATATGCTCCCCTGTTTGTTGTGTTCATAGACTTGTCCTCTAATTTGGTATATATTTACAGGTGCATTTGATGTTCCTCAAATTATACTTCTGCCTCACATGGATAAGAAAGGAGGCTTGATGTCAATTATCCGTTGGCAAAATTCTAATTAATATCTTTTTTTAAAAAAAAAATCAGCCACTTTTTAAATCTTCTATGAAAAAAGTATTTTTTATAAAGGTATATCAGCAATGGAAGAGATCTCTGAAAAGATATACTGTATTTTTTGGAGTATAAGACGCACCGGAGTATAAGACGCAGCTTAGTTTTTGGAGAGGAAAATAGGGCAAAAAAAAGAAAAAAATCTGCCTACTAGGTATTCATCTGGCTAGCATCCTTAGTTAGCTTCAGCACATTAGTTTGCTGGATTTTATCCCCTGTTTGGGAATAAAAAACAGCTTCTAAAGCACAACCGATCTTTGGAGAGAGAAGAAATGAGAAAAGCAGGTAAAGCACAGAGATCGCTTCACTTGCTAGCGCCTCCTTAGGGCTGAAAAAAAGCTTCACAGCTGAGAGTCGGAGGGAGCAGGCAAAGCAGAGAAGTGGAGATCACTTCACTCACTAGCGCTTCATTAGGGCTGAAAAAAAGCTTTGAAAAAGCTACATTTGGAGTATAAGACGCACTCAAATTTTCAGCCTCTTTTAGGAGGGAAAAAAGTGTGTCTTATACTCCGAAAAATATGGTAGTTTATGTTCTAGAAACTGATCCTGATCCTGATCCTGATCCTGATCCTGATCCTGATCCTGATCCTGATCCTAAACTAAACTAAACTAAACTAAACTAAACTAAACTAAACTAAACTACTGTAGGGCAGTACAGAGCCCCTCAGTGTGGCTGATGGGCAGTTAATAAGTTTGATAAAATAAAATAAAGTAAAATAAAATAAATACAGCCCTAGAATTAGTGGAACCACTTTTTATTTCTTTTGTTATTTAATTTATGTATTTTATAATTATTTTATTTTCTTTTATCTGGAAGAAGTTATAATAGGAAAACTCTACCTCGTCCTCCCCAAAAGAAGTAGCTGGAGTTTTTTTTTTTCTTCGGCAGGAGCAGTTGTTTCATAGTTCCTTCAACTGATTAGAAAGAACTGTATATTTTAAAAAGCATAGTGGTTTTTTTCCCCAGCAAGTACTAGAACTTGAGCCAACTTTGGAGTCACAAACTAAGCAAGATTGGGTGTAGTTGATACTTGGAAGACAGATCACTGGGGATTCCCAGGACTGTAGACTAAACAAACAAAAAACAACAAAAATTAGAAGACCAGGACAAAACACTTCTGTAGTGTTGTCAAGAAAACTGCATGGATCCATGGTTAAAGTCATTGCATAGTCAGGGATATTTTTTTTCTCTTATTACTTAATTTCTTTTTTTTAAGTAAAAGACACAGAGCTTTTGTTGTTTGTTTATAGCTGCTGTATCAAAGAATCCTCAACCAAAGAAAAACACAATTATTTTTTCAAGCAAAATACTTCCCTCTTGCAGTCTTAAGTACCGTATTTTTCGGAGTATAAGATGCACCTTTCCCCCCCCCTAAAAGGGGGTGAAAATTTAGGTGAATCTTATACACCGAATGTAGCCTCGCCCACCCACTGGCCCCCACCTTTTGGCCTCTGCCTCCCAGCAGTTACCTCCTTGCAAGCAAACAGCAAGAAAAAACAGCTCAGCACAGTTTCAGCACAGCCTAATTAGCACAAGTTGATTGGATCGGCCTCCCGACTCTCAGCTGATTTGCTCTCAGTGCAGGGCTCTGCTTCTTGCTGCAAGGAGGTAAATTGCTGCAGCAGATTTTTTTTTTCTTTGTGCTAATCAAGCTATGCTGAAAACGAAAATGAAAGTAAAGCAGGCTGTTTGCTGTTTGCTGCAATGAGGCAAAATTGCGCAGAGGCAGAGGCAGATTTCTTTTTCTTCTTTTCCTCACCAAAAAAGGTAGGTGCATCTTATACTCCGAAAAATACGGTATATAGGTGAGCAGACAGGATTGCAGAAGGCAGTATGGGAGAGATGGAGAAGAATGGACAGGCTGGGAAGTGTCAAATGAAGTGGGGTAAGGCAGTGAGGATGGAAGAGGATGGGGAAGTTAGGGAAACACTGGGAAATACTGAGGAGGTAAATTCGGCAGAGGATAAAGAAGTTTGGAGATGGCAGGAGGAGGCAAACCATAGCATAGGGACAGAAAGTGATAAACAGTTGTGTCTATCTATCTATCTATCTATCTATCTATCTATCTATCTATCTATCTATCTATCTATCAAGGGACGCGGTGGCTCAGTAGCTAAGACGCTGAGCTTGTTGGTCGAAAGGTCGGCAGTTCAGCGGTTCAAATCCCTAGTGCCGTGTCCCAGCTTCTGCCAACCTAGCAGTTCGAAAGCATGTAAAAAATGCAAGTAGAAAAATAGGAACGACCTTTGGTGGGAAAGTAACAGCATTCCATGCGCCTTTGGCGTTTAGTCATGCTGGCCACATGCTGGCCACATGACATCTTCGGATAGCGCTGACTCTTCGGCTTTGAAACGGAGATGAGCGGTGCCCCCTAGAGTTGGGAATGACTAGCACATTTGTGCGAGGGGAACCTTTGCCTTTGTCTGTCTGTCTGTCTGTCTGTCTGTCTGTCTGTCTGTCTGTCTGTCTATCTATCTATCTATCTATCTATCTATCTATCTATCTATCTATCTATCTATCTATCTATCTATCGTATGGCAATGTTACATTGTCCAGGAGACTACAGTGCTAATATAGGGTTCTTATTTGGCTGCCTTAAGACTGCTACCCATTCGGTTCACACTTGCGCAAGAAAGAACGACATCCTGCAGTGTCATCTGAAACTTTCTCTCTCCACTCGCAAACGGGTGTCACATCCAGGAAGGTCCATTGCTGGCAGGGATCTGACGTCCGCCACAAAGCACCGTCTTCCCACCAAAGTAGCACCTATTTATCTACTTGCACATGACATGCTTTTGAACTGCTAGTTTGCACTCCAAGTAGTCCTCGACTTACAGCCATTCATTTAGTGACTGTTCCAAGTTACAATGGCACTGAACCAAGTTACTTATGACTGTTTCCACACTTAAAACAGTTGCAACAGCTCCATGGTCTGATTGACATTCTGACCCTTGGCAACTGGCATGTATTTATGACAGTTGCAGTGTCCTGGGGTCATGTGATCAGCTTTTGCGATCTTCTGACAAGCAAAAGTCCATGGGAAAGCCAGGTGCACTTAACAATTGTGTTACTAACTTAACAACTGCAATGATTCACTTGACCACTGTGGCAAGATAGGTTGTGCAATGGGGCAAAACTTACTTAACAACTGTCTTGCTTAGCAATGGAAATTTTGGACTCAGCTGTGGTTCTAAGTCGAGGACTAGATGTACAAATATATGGGACATTTTAGCCTGATCCTGCTGAGTTTTTCTAATTGTTGATGTAACGTATATTGGTCTCTTATTAGACTCAACTACGAAGCTGAGATTTGTAGAGCTTGAGTAATATAACTGTTAATAATGGAGTGAACATGGAGTTTGAAAGGTTTTAAAAAATGGAACAATAACAGTGGAACTCATTTAACGGGAAGCACATAGAAATTTCAGGATCTTTTTTCTCTTCTGTGCAGGTGGATATATTTTTAAAACATAACCTTGGGCCCTATTATTTCACTTTTGTAGCAAAGCCTTTAGGGCAGGGGTGTCAAACTCAAGGCCTGGGGGCTGGATCCGGCCCATGGGGTACTTGGATCTGGCCCACGGGACCGCCCTGGAAACAGCGAAGGACTGGCCCGCGGTGCTTCTGCCAGCGAAAATTGAGCTCGGGAGGGCCGACCATACCCCTCCCGAGCTCCGTTTTCACTAACAGAGGACTGCAGGAGCTCAGGAGCCCGTTTTCGCTGGCAGAGTGCTTGGGCCACCACAGGCACCCCCGACATGAGTGATGTTGTGCTGGCCACGCCCACCCTGGCCACACCCAGCCCCCCAAGGTCAAACACAACCTTGATGCGGCCCTCAATGAAATTGAGTTTGACACGCCTGCTTTGGGGTCTGTACGGATCCTAGGATCATTTTAAGGAATAAAGATTATGCTTCATAGTGTCATTTTGGTTTGCAAAATGGTCGCTTCCCCCTTTTAATTGAAAAATAAAATAATGGGGACATAGAGTACGGTAAGTATTACGATGGGTTTCAGAAACAGAGGAAGAAACATAACCGAGGCAGAGTATGATGGAGGGACGAGATTCATGGATGAAGTCTAGTCATTTTTCCTAACAGAATAGTTTTCAAAGCAGGTTAGCTGAGAGTGTTCTGGAACTGTGAAAGACGATTACTATAAAGATAACGGTTCATTGTGAAGAGCAAAGTGGGAGACTTTCACCCAGTCAACTTGGTCTGGTTGCTAGAAATGTTGTGAATGCACGTTTACATCATGTAAAATAAGTGTTACATAGAGTAGTAGAATAGAAACTAAAATGCAACTGTTTGAATTTTATAGTCTTATTTTTAAAGCTTTAGAACCTCCTCTGCAAGCAACATTCATTGATTCTTGCTAATGCCAAAAAGGGCAGCTGGTGTACATGAGGCTCTGTTGTTCATCATTTGTGTTTGATGTGCGTTTACAGTGTCCATTTATGGAATTTGGTTTTACGATAAGGAAGAATGCCAAAGAATTGCAGAGCTGATGAAAAAGTAAGTGCCAGTTGGCAAAGACAGACTGGTGGGGTGGGGGTAGAGGGGCGATGGTAATCTTTTTTTTTTAATGTTATGTCACTGTTACCATAATATACTTTTAGCTTCTTTTAAACTGAGATTACTGACATAGAGACATCGAACGTATTAAAGCAGAACATCAACCAAAGTTATGGTCTTATGAATGTTACTACACAGGAGTAAGTCCCTTTGAAAATGTTTATAGAGATTCTCAGTCATCCAGGTCCCAAAAGTGCTTCTTTGGATTAGAAGTGAAACATCTTCAAGGAAAAACAAAGGAAGTCCAGTTGCCTCTTGAAAAAGCACCTTTGGGTCTCTTTGAAAACATGGCACTTACTCATGAATCAATCTACATACAATTGCATTATAAAAAGCATCGTTTAATTTTGTTGCCTTGGAGTACCCTGTTTCCCCCAAAATAAGACATCCCCTGATAATAAGCTCAATCGGGCTTTTGAGCACATGGCAATAAGGCCAAGCGCTTATTTAAGCGCTTATTTCAGGGTTAAAAAAAATAAAAAATAAGACAGGGTCTTATTTTCGAGGAAACACGGTAGAAAAAATTATTCCTGGCACACAATGATTTTTGCATTTCATTTTTAATGGTTGGAGTAGCTGTTGATCTTTGCTCTGATAAATACAAAAGTATGTGTATTATACTTTGTATTTATAGTTGGATTATATTATTTATTTATAGATGGGTTTCTGAGTAAGTCTTAAGTGGAATGCAATAAATATTATTGCGCAGAGATGCTCCCTCTTTCCAAATAGATCAGGTCCCTTGTGTTAATTCTTCTAATACGGATACACTTTTTAAAATGCATTTAAAATAATGGATAACCGTACAATATACAAACAGTCACAGATAGCCCTGCAGGCTCTAACCAAAGATTCAGCATCTTTTTGCTGACAGAGAAGAACCTTCCAGAAAACCCACTAAAATATATGAAGGAAACAGGTTCTGTCATTTCCCACTTCCTAAGGGCATGATATCCAGCAGGAGAGATTGTCTGACCATAGTAGTTTCAGATAGCTATAATGAGCCAGTTCTCCATGAATGTTTCTCCTAAGCAACCCCCAAGTCATACCAGCCAAATAATCATCTATAATCTTGTGGTAAATGAGTTCAATATGTCTCATGTCAAATAGCAGAGGTCTTCAAACTTGGCAGCTTTAAGACTTGTGGACTTCAACTCCCAGAATTCTCCAGCCAGCCGCTGGCTGGAGAATTCTGGGAGCTGAAGTCCACAAGTCTTAAAACTGCCAACTTTGAATACCTCTGTCAAATAGTTTCTTTGGCCTGTTGTTGAACTGGCTCCTAGTTGGATTAGATGGCCTCACATTCTCCTATTATGGTCTCTCTCTCTCTCTCTCTCTCTCCATTCAATCTCACATTCTGCTGCTCCTCCCTCCTCCTCCTCCTCCTCCTCCTCCTCCTCTCCATATTGGTACAGTGGTTAGAATACAGTATTGCAGGCTGACTCTTGCTTACTGCAATGAGTTCGATCCTGATGGGCTCAGGTTGACTCAGCCATTCTTCTGAAGTTGGTAAAATAAGGAACCAGGTTGTTGGGAGCAGTATGCTGACTCTAAACTGCTAGTTTAGAGAGTAAAGCACTATGAAGCTGTCTATAAGTGCTATTACTATTTTTCAGGTGCCATGCGCCATCCCCACCATGTATTTGCCAAACTCGTTTTGCCTTAATTCATAAAATTCATAAACTCCCCTCCTGCAGAACGTACTATGACAGTGATGGCTAACCTTTTTGCCATCACGTGCCAGGAGCGGGGTGGGTGGGTTTGCGCACGTGTGTGCCCACACCCATAATTCTTTGCACCCTGTGCATGTGTGTGCGCCCCCCCTTTCCCCCCCCCCCCCCGGTCCTGGCACGTGATGGCCCGGTAGGCCCGTTTTTCTCTCTAGGAGTCTGGGGAGGACAAAAATGGCCTCCCCCACCCCTCCGGAGGCACTCCAGAGGCCGAAAATGGCCCATTTGCCAACTTCCGGTGGGACTGGAAGGCCCGTTTTTTGCTGTTCCCAAGCTCCAAAGCCTTTCTAGGAGTCTGGGGACAGCAAAATAAATGGGCCTTCCCCACCCCGAGGCCCTCTGGAGGCAGGAAACAGCCTGTTTCCCTACTTCTGGTGGGCACAGAAGGCCCAAAAATCAGCTGGCTGGCGTGTGCGTGTGCACCGGAGCTGAACTCGCATGCTCACCGATATGGTTACGTGTGCCATCTGTGGCACGCATGCCGTAGGTTTGCCATCACGATACTATGAAGTTGTTTTCAGCTACCCCTTTTCAAACCTTTATTGCTATGACATTCTTTTTGTAAAACAGGGTATGTATTCTATTACAAATTAAGCCATAGCATAAATTTATATAAATTAAATGTAATATCAGTAGTTCTTTTCCCATGATATTTCCTGATTTCTAATCTTAAATTGTTGTTTTCGGTACTTCAACATGCTTGATTAATCATGCTCAGTTCAAATTTGGCCTGCATTGTTTTTGCCAATACCTGTATACACATTCCTTTTGGGTTTAAGGATCATGTTCCATTTTCTCATCCTTTGCTCACTTTGAGGAAATCCTTTCTGGATCTCCTCTGCTTTGTATTTCATATCCTCAGTAATTACATGCCATTTGCAATTTTGGCCTTCACTGCATATATCAGATTTCAAAGCCTGTATGAATAAATTAACACAGCCCAATAGAACTCTTTGGGGGAGCCCCCTGCTTATTTGTCTCTATTATTAGAACTGTCATTCTTGTCTTTTTGCTTTCTGATCTTAAATGGTTGTCAATCCATAAGAGGTTGCCCTGGCAACATTCATCTGAAACAGATATTTGCATAGCTGGCGAAGTATGTGGCCAGGGGGAAAAAAAACCTGTCTTGAGCCATAACTAATAGAGGTTCCAAGGAATGGTTGTGTTGGTTCTTTTCAGGCACCAACAATGAACAGAAACTTTTTTCAATATGTGAAAGCTTAGAATAGCATGCTTGGGTAGCACAGAGATAAAATTAAGCATGATTAAATTTAAATTTAAATTAAATGTGTGTGTGTGTGTGTGTGTACATATGTAAATATACACATACATCAGGGGTGAAATGCTCCCGGTTCGGACCGGATCACCCGATCCGGTAGCGATGGAGGCGGGTGGTTCAGAGAACCGGTAGCAAAAATCCCTGCCCCCCCCCCCATTGCCCAGCTGAGCCGCGCAATCATCAGAGGCTTTTTTAAAAATTTTAAAAGCATTTTTTCTACAACCTCTTTGGCTGTAAAAAAAAAAAAAAAGCCTCTGATGATTGCGCGGCTCAGCTGGGATCATCAGAGGCTTTTTTTTAAAAAAGAAAGCCTCTGCCGATCAGGCAAGTCAGCTGGGATGATCAGAGGCTTTAAAAGCATTTTCTTTACAACCTCTTCAGCCAAAGAGGTTGTAGAAAAAATGGTTTTAAAAGTAAAAAAAAAAAAAAAAAGTTGACCACGCCCACTCAGTCATATTAACTCCCCCCCACCAAGCCACGCCCACAGAACCGGTAGTAACAGATTTTACATTTCACCACTGACATACATACATATATATTGTTTCCTTCTATCAAAATACAATACATCAGCAAAATTTAGAGACCTCTAGGGACTGTATTCAGTACTTTGGGCATTGCAATATAGCCCTCCCTTAAAGACTGACCTGCTTATAACAAAACTACTAATGTATTTTGCATTCGGGATGCATTAATAATAGATTCCACCCCCCACCTCCCACCCGGTACCTTTATGTCCTAAATTAAAGTATTACTTTATGTCTGAACACTGTTTCCCCCCCACACAACATACACAAACCTGCTTTCCTAATTTTCTATGGTAGGAACCCAACGCCTTTAGAGATAGAGAAGTTTGAGCTTCTGGACCATCATTCTTATTATAGAAAAGGAGGACTCAAGTGACGATGAGATTACATTCTCTGCTCTGCCCTTTGCCAGTGTGACTTACAGAGAGCCCTGTTCACCATTAGATCAAGCCGCGAGACAGCAAGAAACATTCTAAGTTCCCTGGAATAGACTCATGCAGAATAGATCTTGGCTCTATTTAATTCCCATTTAGGGGCCCCTTACAGAGGTAGAATTTCATATATACATCTTATGACAGTCTTTACTTTATCCTCGGTTGATTCCAGTGCCCTGCTGTAACAATCCCAGTTTTGTACTCAGCAGTACTTCTGCTGTTTGTGAGATCTTCAAATCATGTCTTTGCTTTTGTTCGGAGTCTGAACTCCGAAAAAGAGCCTTGGTAGTATAGTGGTCTAAAGCACCCTGTTATTAAGACCAGCTGCCTGCAATTACTGCAGGTTTGAATCTCGCCAGGCTCAAGGTTGACTCAGCCTTCCATCCTTTCTAAGGTAGGTAAATTGAGGACCCAGTTTGTGGGGGCAATAAGCTGACTTTGTATAAATATACAAAAGGATGAAGGCTATTGCTTAGCGCATTGTAAGCCACCCTGAGTCTCCGAAGAAGGGCGGCATATAAATCAAATTAAAAAAAAAAATGTCATGTTGCCACACCCACTTAAAATGTCTTACAGGCTCAGCCACGAACAAGATATAACAAAGTGGTCTGTAATTCATGGAAATTTGTTGGCTTTGAAGGTATCACAGACACAACATTTTTGTAGCAAGAATGTGGTTGAAGGTGATATTTATAGAATATTATATCAAGAATATTATATGATAATAAAGAATCAAGAATATTATATGATAATAAATCATAAGTAACAGGTTGGTTAAAAGCAATAACAAAATAATTTTTGTTAGAAGGTCATTTCACCACCACCCCTTCCCAAAATATACTGCATCGTCTTAATAAATTATGTTTGGAAGCCAACCATCCTGCCATTATTAATTGTTAAACGTAGCTCAATAAAAGATTAGATAGGGAATATTTATATGATTGTAAATACATTTAGTGCATTGGAAAAGCAATGTTTCATCCTAGTTAAGTTATGCCATGGTTCAACCAATGTACTGTGTGTTAACATTTTCAGCTTTTTGAAGTAATTATAAAGCAGCTGGGGCAGGAAATTGGTCATTTACTAGTGTTTAAATATTTATTTGCATCTATTCACCAGCTTAGAACCTCCAGCTATCATAAAATGAGCTGTGACTGAGTTGGGGAGACTGGAGTCTTTTAAAGCTCAGTTGCATAAAATTGGAGAAATCACATTATCAGCCTTAACCAAACTTCAGCTTTTTATTTAAGATAGGTTTTTTTTAAAAAAAAAAAAACAACCAACCCTAAAAATTGTTCTTAACGTTCTCTAAATTATTTGAAGTGATTAGAAATTAACCCATTTTCTCATTCATTATTGACTTTACCTTCTGTTTCCAGTTTAACTCGCCAAGAACAACTGAAAGCGCAACAGGGATCTGGCTTGGGAATTTCACCAGTCAGCCTCAGCTCTGGTGACAGGAAAGACATGGATATCTTACAGATGCTCACCAGAGCCAAAGATGAATACACAAAGGTGAGGCTTCCGCTGTTTAAAATATTATATTTTCTTTTTTATGTGTTTGATGTATCCGTTCTTTTTATGTAGCCTTTTTCTGCTACATTAGTTTGCAGCTATCTCTCACGAGAGTTTCTTCTTTTCTCTATTAATTAATCAAGCTAGTGTTTTACACTATGCATCTAAGCCAGGTATTAACAGGTATCATCTTTAAGCAAATGTCCAAATTGCATTGCAACTCCCCAAATTTCCCAAGGCTTGTAGTCCAACACCTTGCAGAGTGGTTTAGGTTGGGATGAGCTGCTCTAAAACAATTAAGCTCTAGGACATTATTCAGATATGAGGAGCAACTGATGCTTAAGAGGAATGAATCTCTCCTGCCAATCTTTTCCTTTGAGAAATACGGCATAAAAATTGGGAAAGGCAATTATGGATCACTTTTTGTGCCTGACCACCATGGTACTTGTCAATGCTGCTGAAAGCCACATTAGCAAGTACATATTCCTCAACTTGCAACTATTGATTCAGCAACCATTTGAAACCACGATGGCACTGAACAAAGGGCCATTACGACCTGGACCCAAAGTTATGGCCATGGCAGTATCCCCAACAGTCGCATGACAAAAATTTGGGCGCTTGGCAGCTTGCACGCATGTAAAACTTTATGGACGCTGCAGTTCTCCTCATCTCCCTGTTTTTTTCTCTTGAGTAGGCCATCCTGCACAGTGTGATAGAAATAGCAATGGCTCCAAGACTTATATACCGCTTCACAGTGCTTTACAACTCTCTCTAAGCAGAGACAGCATATTTCCCCCAACAATCTCAGTCCTCATTTTACCAACCTCAGAAGGATGGAAGGCTGAGTCAACCTTGAGCCGGTCAGGATCGAATTCCTGGAGTGAGCAGTGAGTTAGCCCTGCAGTACTGCATTCTGCTGTGTCAGCTGCAGTATCAGGGCTGGGCCTAAAATAGAAGCCCAGAGTCTTTAGCACTCTCAGCCAGCTGCCAGCACCTCAAGGCCTTGACTTCAGGACTAGTGTCACTGCTGCCACTGAAAAATACTGCCTCGCGCCTTTCTTTGGCCCCGTTTCTCCATACACCCAAGGATCTACCACGTGCCACCACTCGTGTTCAGGTGTGTGTTTTTTTCCTGCTGCTGAGAGACTTGCATGGCCTATCCAAGGCAGTTCATGGTTCCAACCAGACTTTCTTTCCTGAAACTGGATTTCAACTGTCCTGCAAGCGTTGCACATTTGGAGAATGAGATTTCCAAAGCACTGTGAGAATTCAGCCCCCTGCCCACCTGAGGCACCCCGCACTTTTAGCAGTTCTTTGCCTCAGCAACAGCTGTGTCTTTGCAGAAGCTATAACCACTGGTGGGATTCAGCCGGTTCACATTGGTTTGGGTGAACCGGTTGTTAAATTACACCCACCCACCCCGCTATCAAAGTGGATCCTGGGCACTGCGCTGCAATGGAGAAACGGGCAACAGAGCAGTGGGCACGAGGGAAGGAGAAGGCCACTTTCCCTCTTTCTTCTCCCTGCTCCTCCTCCTTCTCTTGTACCGGCTGCTCCATTTTCTGTTTTTCCAGTGCAGCGCAGCGCCCAGATCCACTTTGATAGTGGGGGTGGGATGGGGGGAGTAATTTAACAACCAGTTCCCCCAGGGTCTGTTTGGCCGTCGCAGGAGGTTCGTCCTTCATGTGCGGCGGAGCTGGAGGATGGGGATGGACACCTCCCACGACAGACAACCTGACCCTGGGCGAACCGGTTGTTAGATTATTTGAATCCCACCACTTGCTACAACCCCTTGCCCCTTTGGTCACTGGAGAATCCAGACTTTGTGATTCAGGCCACACGCTGTAGAATGAGCTGGGGAAGATTGAAATGAAAACAAAATGGGAAGAGAAAGGAGGCTGGAGACAAGGGGGGCAGAGAGTTTAGAAAAGAGAGAGCAGAGAAAAATGAATGGGAAGCAAGTAAGACTATTAAAGCCTCTAATTTCTGCTCAGTAATTTGTTCTGAAGAATCAATGGCAAGCAGCCATCTCTCATGAAAAAAAAAAAAACCTATGGGAATAGCAATAGAAAACAATATGTACCCTGTTTCCCCCAAAATAAGACATCTCCTGATAATAAGCCCAGTCGGGCTTTTGAGAACATGGCAATAAGGCCAAGCGCTTATTTCAGGGGTCAAAAAAAATATAAGACAGGGTCTTATTTTCGGGGAAACATGGTAGATGATTAAAGAAGTCCATGTGGGCAAATTGTGGGTATTTCTCTGCTTTTCCTATCCTTCCATTTACTGTCAGTTTTTAATTACCAGCAGCACTTGAACCTGTCATCAAAATTTGACAGAGTTTTCCTGGAGGAGCAGGTTCTAGTACCCCATTTGTAAGTTAAGTTTTGAACTCTTTAATTCCTTCAAAGAAAACTCATTAATTCGTTCAAAGAAAATAGTTCTTTGTTGTTATACTTAATGTGAAAGGATTCATTTGAATCAAAGTGATTTTGAAGCTGTTATCTTTAACTGTGGCTTGCTTAAATTCAGGTAGTTTTACTAGGAAATCAGTTCTAATAATATCAATAGTTAATTTCATTCCGAATACAGATGCCAAGTAAGAGAGCCAGAAATAAGATTTGGACAATAGGATGTTGGTTTTCATATTAAACTATATACCATATTATCAATTTGAGCAGCCCTTATTGAAAAGGCTACTTTAAAAATTTAGAAAGATAGTCTAAAGAAAGATATCTGCTGAGACAATATGCAACAGCAGATAAAGTATAAAGACACCTGTTTGTCTCCTTATCCTGAAGAGTATATGGAAAAAGCATACATACACAAGGACTTTTCCCTTCCATTGTATACTGTATATCATTCAAGACGCTTGTTTGGAAACAATTTATCTGAAGAACAAGTCAATCTATTTCTGCTGCTTAGCTTTTCCACCTAAATTTCTTTATTATAACTGGTTGCCAAGGAAATATTAGGCCACAGAGAAATTTATCTCCGGCAATGCAGTGAGATGCAGGAACAGCTGTCCTCTCAAAGCTGAAGATAATTTGCATTAGGGCGAGAATAGGTGACACATTTTACAGTTTCCTCTGCATCAAATGCCATCATGCTTCAAACGTACTTTGCTTCTCAAAATAGTTATTTTTTTCATTTCATCATTTTGAGAGCAAAGATCCCATGTGTAGCAGTCAGCTTTTCCAAGAGGGAGGGAGTGGAGAGAGAGAGAGAGAGAGAGAGAGAGAGAGAGAGAGAGAGAGAGAGAGAAGGAGGGAGAAAGAGAGAGAGAGAGATGGAAGAAGAAAACACAGGGAACAGAAATAAGAAAATTACTGAGTTTTTATTAGGGAAATGCAGCATATACGTTTTCTTAATGATGGATGGATGGATGGATGGATGGATGGATGGATGGATGGATGGACGGACTTTCTATTGCACTTTTAAGCAGACACTTAATGATTTAATGTTCTCCAATGACTTCTAGTGAAAGAGCAGAAAAGGACACAGTGTACTTCGATCAATAAATAAACATCCATCCACCTCAGACTATCTCTATTTCTTTCCTTGATTTTAGCCAATAAAATGAAGTTTATACAATTATTAGGTTTTTATCTTTTCCTCTAAGAATTCAAAGTAGCATAAATAGCACTCACTCCTCCAGCATTTCCTAACAAACCTGTGAGGTAAGCTGAGTGAATGTTAGCGACCGACCGAAAGCCATACCATGAGCTTCAGTGGCTGAGGATGGACTGGAATCTGGGTTTTAGTCCAATGCAGCACACTTGCTCTGGAATATGGTAGGTTCTTAAGATGAGCTTCTTAAACAAAGAACAAATCCATTCCTAATATAGTTTGGTATTTTTATGTGCAGCCTTGATGAACATTTAAGGTCCTCAAGTCTATTAATTTCAAGTTACAATGCCCCCCCCCGCCCCCGGATTTATTGCCCAATTCCAATGGCCACGTCCCCCAATAATATGACCGCATATCAGGCACTAGGCAGATAGCCTGCATTTACAGCTCCTTGCAATTTCCCACTGGACCACATTTTACGATGGTTTTGCCGAAACCCAGCATTAACTTCCAATTTTTGGCAAAACCAGCTCACAGTAAACAATTGGTTTATTTAACAGCTGCCACAGGTTGGTCACACGGGTATCTTGATTTACAACCATCAAGACTTATAGCTGTGATGGGCAGGTTCCATTATGGTCGTAAATTGAGGACTAGCTATTCCACCTTAGAAACCAATCCTAAATGTTCAAGCAGTGACTTAAGACAGTCTTACTCAGGCCTGTCAAAACTGGTGCCTGTGGTCCAGATGCGTCACGGACAGGCCACGTCCACCCCGGCTGTGCAAGGAGCAAAAAATGTCATACGTGTCAATACATCACGTGACGCGATCGAGTTTGACCCATGGTCTTACCCATCTTGGTGCTTTCCACACATGTTAGATCACAATTCCATGACATATAACAAACCATGCTGTTAGGAATATAATAGAATGGGAGAGGAGAGGAGAGGAGGAGAGGAGAGGAGAGTTGGAAGGCACCTTGGAGGTTTTTTAGCCCAATTCCTTGCTTAGGCAGGAAACCCTACACCACTTCAAACAAATGGTTATCCAATCTCTTCTTAAAAACTTCCGGTGTTGGACCATTCACAACTTCTGGAGGCAAGTTGTTCCACTAATTAATTGTTAGGAAATTTCTCCTTAGTTCTAAGTTGCTTCTCTCCTTGATTAGTTTCCACCCATTGCTTCTTGTCCTGCCCTCAGGTGCTCTGGAGAATAGCTTGACTCCCTCTTCTTTGTGTCAGCCTCTGAGATATCGGACAGTGCTATTGGTTTTGTTCTGTGAAAAATCATGTGGCTGTAGTTTTCCATCCTCCCATGTATGAGGTTAAGGAAGTCTGAGGAGTTTAGGAGTCTGTTCTTTGGGATGATTATTAGCATAAAGCCAATATCTCCCTTATGCCTCTGGCCATTTCTGCATCGAAAAAATGTCTTATGATTGGAATTAATAAGCTATCAGAGGTGCCTTTGAGAGTTGTTAGGCTGCCGTTCTGTTCATTTTAGAGTCCAGGTGTCTTCTTTTTCAGGAATAGATAATCATTATTGAAAAAATGATTTAGTTTTTGTCAAGTCAAATAATGAGGGAATTTGGGAATAATGATTCTCGAAAAACTTGCAAGGCCTAAAAATAGTGATACCTCAGCATGAAGTAGTAGACCAGTAACAAGGTTTGCTTTTCTGTTCCTCTGCTGTAAGCATCTCTGGAAAATAGAGATTTGTTTGGGCCATCTGTTGATATGTCTATGCTTCTTTTACTCCCATAACTGAGAGGCACCTCCCACAGAATCTACAGTACATCCTTTAATCTGTTTTTTTCCCCTTCATTTTTTTCATTATCAGATGCCACTCACAGGAACAATTTTATATTCAGCTTCTTAATCTCACCATTTTAGTTTCCTGGATGCAGAATAAATTGCTGCAGTAATGAGAGTTCATTTTAACTTTTGGATCTCTGAATGCAAATTTATACCAGCATTCCTTCTGTATGATTCTGAATCCTGAGTATTTGAAGAGTTATTTTTCTATGTTTCTGCTATTGTGAGACTTCTAAAACTTCTGAATTCTTTTCTGCATCTTTCTACCATCTGATGTTCCATGACTTAAAATATAGGATAAAACCATTTTCATTTGCGATGGCCCATACTGTGTATGGAATATCATCTCAAGAGAAAATGAGAATGTCACTTATTTTTGCTCAAAGCTCAGCTTCTTTGATTTGCCTGGAATTGAATAGAGAAATTTTTAATTTTGAGGTAACAGTCTTATCAGATTTTATAATTTATACAATTTTGCATTTTCCCTTCTCTTTTAATATCAGATTGTATATAATTGAAGTCAGTTGAATTTAAGTTTCCTAGCAGTATAGAGGTTTTACTAAAGGATCAATGATGCCTTAACAATCTTGCATCGAAGAGCATATGTTTATGTATCTTCAGAAGCTGTAAAGATCCAGTAATAACATCTGGAACCTGAAATGACATCTGTCCAAACATTATGACTTGCTTTAAATGGCTCCTTTGTCCTTAGTTTGTTTTACATGTACATTGCATGCAAACTGAGGAATACAATAATAATCAGGAATACAAAATTACCTTTATAAAATCTTTTACATTTAAATAAGTTACATTTTATAAAATTACATTTTATAAAATCAGCATTGTATTTATGTTATGGATTGCATGTGCTGTTTCTTCCTATAAAATGATATGATGTTCCTTTCAAATATCCTTGATTCTCGTGGTCATTTTTCAACCTGGCAGTTGAAGTTTCTCTTCTGAATTTAACTATATTTGATTCCAGTGATGGTGTTAATCAGAGGTGGTATTCAGCAGTTTCTGACCATTCTGGAGAATTGGTAGCGGAAATTTTGAGTAGTTCGGAGAACCAGTAGTAAAAATTCTGACTAGCCCCATCCCATCTATTCTCTGCCTCCCAAGTCCCAGCTGATCGGGAGGAAATGTAGATTTTGCAGTATCCTTCCTCTGGAGTGGGAAGGGAATGGAGATTTTACAGTATCCTTCCCCTGCCATGCCCACCAAGCCATGTCCACAGAACCGGTAGTAAAAAAAATTGAATCCCACCACTGGTGTTAATCATAATGGGTTACAAGCTGCAGCTACCTACTTTTTGTTTCAATATAAGAACAACGTTCGGGTAGTAAAATCTGTAGAAACAATGAAGCAGCCTTATTAGGGTGTTTATTAAGAATCACCATCTCTTGAGATTTTAAAGAGGCTGGACAGCCATCTTTCGAGGGTTGGTCTTGATGTTTGCAGTCCCTTCCAGTTTCACAATTTACAGTTCATTCGATCTTGAGAGGAAACATTGCTTTTTTGAATAAAATTATACCTTTTGTGTATGTGTTGCAGTGTAAAACATGCTCCGAGCCAAAACAAATGACCAGTTTTTCTGCTCTATACCACAATCCCAACTTGATCAAACCAATCCCTCTAAAGCCCAGGGAAAGCCAGAAAGTCCAGGTATGTCGGCATATTTGTATTCATGACAAACCAGCCTGTTCATGTCAATTGATTTAAATTCTTAAGTACAGTGGGGTTTGTTTTAATATAAGCGTGTATAGAAATCATCTCTGGGAGATTTCCACATGTCTTCAGTTGCATTCAGATTGATAAAATAAAACCAGTGGCAGATTGTGAGCTTGATTCAATGGGGTTGAATATCAGGGAGTCACAGATCCTGCATCCTTGGTGGAAACAATTGTGATGTCATAACAGGAAAAATATATGCTGCTTGATCTCTGTCAGGCGCAAGGAATCAGTAAAACTTGGGAGTAGGCCAAAGAAGTTTCTTTACTGTGATTCCTCTTTATGCAAGAATTTTGCCAGACTAACTGCATTCTCTTGGGAACAGGCAGATAAAGGCCTTAACCGTTTGGCCTCTGTTGCTTCCTCCCGCAGAGCGATTCCAAGCTGGACCCCCTCTGCTCCACCCAGAAATTCCACCACAATATCACTGTGCAAGTGTGTGCCTAAGGATCAGGCTTAGGGTCACCAGGAAAATGTGACCTCACTGCCTTGTGTTATGAAAATCTAGTCATGGCTAGCTCAAAGCAAGTCAATATAAGTAGGGGGTAACTTCCGTCTCCTGCATGCCATTTCCCCTCACAACTATCTATTCATTTCCTCCCCCCCATCCTAAGTTCCGGTGAGGGTTTGTTTCTATTGATTGTTGCTAATGAAGCTAGTCAAATCAGATTTGGTCTTAATTATTCTTCTTCCTTTCCTTCTTGCAGAACACAGATTCCGAGCCTCAGCACCTGTCCCTTATGACTCTCTTTGGAAAGCAGGAAAAAACGAATCTATACCAAAATGTCTCAGAACCATCTCAGAAATTCCACCAAGACAATTTTCCTCCAAGGCAAGGAATTGTACGCGCTTTCTCTTACGAGGAACCTGGAAGACACTCGCCCACAACAGAAAAGCAGCTCTGTCCGGCCATTCAAAAACTGATGGTGCGCGGGCCGGAGCTTCACCCGGTCTCTGAACTCCCGGAGAACCGCCTCTGCGAGAATGGCAGCCACCCTTCCGTGGGGGAAGCTTTCACTGGGCTCTTCCAGCCTGTGACTTCACAGAGCATTGGGAGTTCTCATCCCGCCCAGAATACTGCTTGCACAAGGAGCCTGCTCCAGCAGTTGCAAGGCCAGTCCGAACAGATGACTAAAGTGGAAGTGAACAGCATAGGACTAGCAAACCCAGCTGCCCCAGCCTTCAACAGGACTCCAGCCATCTCCTTGGTGGCCCAGGTAAACAGTGTAATTCAGCCACCCATGATGTACTTCAATGGTTCCCTGCCAAACCAAGCTCTTGGTAAAGAACAATCCAAACCTCCTAAGCAGTCACATCCTCTTCCTGGGAACCACTCTGGAAATTCCGGCATAATTTCACCTCAGGAGCTGTTGAAGAAACTGCAGATAGTGCAGCAGGAACAACAGTTGCACATAGCCAGTCGGCCAACCTTAGCGGCTAAGTTTCCTGTAGTTACTCAGGCCTCCGCCACTCTGAAACCTTTGGATTCTTGGATGGACAAGGCTTCGGCTACAGAAAAGCAGCCCCCTCTTCTTCAGGTAAATCAGCGATAAATGCGATAGCACCTAAAACGGGTGAGCAACTATGGTCCCTTGATGATCTGTGGACTTCAACTCCCAGACTTCCTAATCCAGTATGGCTATGTCAGGAATTCTGGGAGTTGAAGTCCACCTTGTTGTAAAGGGGCCATAATTTCCCACCACTGATCTAACATCTGAGATTCTTCAAATTGTTTGTTCTGTTTTAGCATTATTTTTAGTTTCTCTTTGAACAATATAAGCAGATCTTTTCTAACACAAGGGACAATGCACTAATAACCCGTTAGCCACATTACTGCTTTGCAAATACTTCTCTCGGCTTATTTAAAAAAGCACAGGATAAGCCTTAGTGACTTTCCAAGTATTCAGAAGAAGGATTTAAAAATCCCGGGGGTGCAATTGGGAGACTCCCCCCAGATGAGATTATCTTTAGGGGAAAAAAATGTAATTTTGTTGAATAACAGCATTGGATGCCTTAATTAGTTTATAAATACATACATAAATACATTTCAGGTATTCTAAAGCTAACACTACAGTTGCTAAACTGTATTTGCATGAATCTTGCAATGATAGAAATACAGAGTTTCAGGGAATCCTACAGCTTTCACCTAGTGCAAGGGTCTCCAAGCTTGGCAACTTTAAGACTTGTGGACTTCAACTCCCAGAGTTCCTCAGCCAGCAAAGGTTCTTCAGATTCTTGAAGGCTGCTATCATGCCTCTTTGTGAACTAGACCTATCCAGATCCTTCAACCATTCTTGAAAGGGCTTGATTTTGAGATTGGCAGGCCTCCTGTGAACTGGCTTCAATTTGTCACTGTTCTTGTTGAACTTCTCAAAAGGCCTTTTGAAATGATAATACGATCCCCTTCCAACCTTCCTGCTTCCATCAATACTAAACAGTTTGAAACTCCTCAGAAAGTCCATGTCTGAATAATGGGCTTTGTATTCTTAGGAGGAGTTGGCCTTTGATTTATTCATTTTGTTATGATCTGCCATTTGTCAGACCCAACCCAGCAGCTAACAGCCAAATATTTCTTTACAAGTAAAATGGGGGGGAAAGTGCTTATTCTCAAGCTCTGTAAATTGAAGTAATGTGAAGTGTGAAAGCACAAGTGAGGTGAAAAAACAACAATTGAACAGATGACTCATTTTCTGTTTAAGGATTTTTTTTTTTTAAAAAGGATGCTTATGACATTTTCATTAGAATTAAATGGGAAAAAAACAACAGCTCAGGACAGCTTTGTGACGTTATGTATTTGATAGATAATACACTAGAGCAGGGGCGTCAAACTCTATTTCATTGAGGGCCGCATCAGGGTTGTGTTTGACCTCAGGGGGTGGGGGTTGCCAGGGTGGGTGTGGCCAGCTCTATGTCACTCCTGTCGGGGGCGTCTGTGGTGCATGCGGCCCTCCTGAGCTCCATTTTCACTGGCAGAGGGTTGCAGGAGGCCGTGGCAGCCAAAAACGGAGTTGGGGAGGCCATTTTCGCTGGCAGAAGCACTGCAGAAGAAGTACTTCGCTGTTTCCAGTGTGGCCCCGTGGGCCAGATCTAAGTACCCAGCAGGCCAGATCAGCCCCCCAGGCCTTGAGTTTGACACCCGTGACCTAGAGATTAGACACTTTTATTCCATAACCAGGATTATGTTGAGGAGTTGGAGTTGCAGGATTCATTTGCCATGATGCAGCATTCCTAATTTGTGGGAGTAGATTTGCCCCAGAGCAGGAGGACAGACAACGGGATCTCCTACCTGTAGTGCCTAACTTTTTCCCATAGGTCAGGGGTCAGCAACCTGCAGCTCCGGAGCCACATGCAGCTCTTTGGGCCCTCTGCTATGGCTCCCTGTCAGGTAATCCCACCACTGGCTGGCCCCGCCCCTCACCCTCCCCTCCCAGTCACTCCTCGCCTGGCCTGAGAAGGTAAGGGCGACAGCGCAGATGGAGAAGCAGCCAGGGCAGAGATAGAGAGATACAGAGAGAGAGGGAGAGAGAGAGAAATAGAGAGATACAGAGAGAAGGGTAGAGAGGAAGGGAAGGGAAAGAGATATGTCAAAAGGATTTTGTGGTTCCCAGTGTTTTTTAACAACTAGTTCTCTGCCCTAATGACCGGCTGGGTAGGCCTGGCTAGGGGGGTCATGTGACTGGTGGAAGTGAGTGACATGGAGTTGGCCACGCCCACCCAGGTTTTGTGGCTCCTGGTGTTTTCTTTTCTGTGGGAAACAGGTCCAAATGGCTCTTGGGAGTGTTTAAGGTTGCAGACCCTTGCCATAGGTGATATGGTAGAGATTTATAGGTAGCCCTTCATTTACAACCATTCATTTAGGGACCATTCAGTTGCAGCTGGCATTGAAAAAAGTGACTTACAACATAAGTCCTCACACTTATGACCATTGTAGCATTTCCATGGTCACACGATCAAAATTTGAGCACTTGCCAGCCAACCTATATTTAAGATGGTTGCAGTGTCTATATTCAAATGATGGCCATTTGTGACTTTCCCAACTGGCTTCCAACACAACAAGCAAAATCAATGGGAGAAGCCGGATTCACCTAACAAGGCCATTTAACAACTGCAGTGATTTGCTTAACAACCCATGGCAAGAAAGGTTGTAAAATCAGTGTGACTCACGTAACAACCACCTTACTTAGTAATGGACATTCCGGTCCCAATAGTGACTGTCAGTCAAGGATTGCCTGTACTTTATATGGGAGAATAAAAAAGATACCATAGAGCCATGATGGCGAACCTATGGCACGCGTGCCACAGGTGGCACACACAGCTCTCTCTGCGGGCACGCCAGCCATCACGCCAGCCCAGCTCCGCCGTGCAGGGGCGCGCACCTCCTGCCGGCCAGTTTTGGGTCTCTGCCTTGCATGCACAGGGGTTTGGGTGCATGGGGACGTACGCATGCATGGGACGGGAGCAGGGCGCATGCATGAGGGGGGACAGGAGGCAAAACGGGGCACAGGGGGCCTCGTGCAGTGTCCCCACGCCCCATGTTGGCTTCCAGATTGTCTTTCTAGGCCCAAAACGGGGCAGGGGGGCCTTGCGCGGCCCCCCTGTGCTCACTTTTGGCTTCCAGATTGGTGCAGGAGGGCCCCCCGCCCCATTTTGGGCCTGGAAAGTCTCCTGCACCAACCTGGAAGCCAAAACAGGGCGTGGGACCGGGGCACATGCGCAGGAGGGCACTCGCATTGCATTTGGGGGGTTCTGGCACGTGCATGTGCATTCATGTGCGCTTTGGGCACTCGGCACCAAAAAAGTTAACCATCACTACTGTAGAGACTCTATGGTTGTCTGCTCCTGATTATATCATTTTCTATGAAAACCAGGCTTTGCTACTTATGAGCAGTTTACTAGGCTCTGCAAAACGAAATTATCTTTTCTTCTGCTCTTAGCACCGCTTGCCCTCCGGAATCTTTTCATGGGCAAAAAGGCAACTTTTGTCAAAAGTCTGTCTTCCAAAACCAGCCAGATTGGCCTTTACCAGGGCACTTGGAAAAACACTTGTTTTCTGGTACATCAACAAATATTGCTGAACGCACTCCATGAAATTATTGATGAATTATGAAATTATGAAATAATTATTATTCGCGGTGGCTCAGTGGCTAAGACACTGACTTGTCGATCGAAAGGTGCCGCGTAACGGGGTGAGCTCCCATTACTTGTCCCAGCTTCTGCCAACCTAGCAGTTCGAAAGCACGTAAAAAAATGCAAGTAGAAAAATAGGAACCACCTTTGGTGGGAAGGTAACAGCCTTCCTTGCGCCTTTGGCATTTAGTCATGCCAATCACATGACCACGGAGACGTCTTCGGACAGGGCTGGCTCTTCGGCTTTGAAACGGAGATGAGCACCGCCCCCTAGAGTCAGGAATGACTAGCACATATGTGCGAGGGGAACCTTTACCTTTACCTTTTTATCAAGATTCCCAGGACTTGATTTCCCAGGTCATCAGTAAGATTAGCTCCCTATTTTATCTTTCTATAACATTTCATATTTTATCAGCCATAAAACCCAAAAGCCACGTCCAAGCATAAGGAGAAATGCCTCATTTCAAATATCTTATCCCCGTTATGCAGCAAGATATACTTGTCTTACGAAGACAACCGGCTGGTTATTATTGTTGTCCTGCCTTGCACATAGACTTTTCTTGACACCCCAGCTAAGGACAAACGTTTCCGTCAAATAATGTTGGCAGATTCACATTTACAGATGTTCAGGCAAATTAGAGCAGCCTTTGATAATAAACACGTTCCCAAAATCTGTTCCCTAGAATTGTTTATCTTAGTGAATTGCATCTGCTCTCACAGTCTTTCAGAGGACAGTGGACCAAATTTTACCAAGTCTGCCTGGTGTTGCCTGTTGCCTAGACAACATCTTGAATATTGAACTGAACAAACATGTATTTAAAGAACTCATCATGATTTCCTTCAGTGACTAGTGTCTGTTGTTTGTACTTCCTTACCAGTCGGCATCTCATAAGTCTCGTTTCAAATTGGCCTGCATTGCATCTCCATATGGCTTCAAAACCATAATCTGTAGAATGAGTCTCAGCAGAGTGGAAATGCATGTTACTGAAGCAATTAAACAAAAACAGAACATAATTAGATTTGAATTTATCCAGAAAATAGACATGTCTGATCAAATTTAATACATAGGTACGGTATGGTTAAAAAAAAAGTAATTTCAACTTAAATTCATTTAAATGAACTCAGTTGGGCCTTTGGTCAATAAGACATTAAAGAGATATTCAAGTTACAGGAAGAAACTCAATTTTTCACTTATGTTCTCATAGCAAAGGATATATACCATGTGCCTGACTTGGCTCTTTGCAGTGAGGAAAATGAAACAGATGGTGAGTGAGGAGCTGAAGTTTTAGGGATTATTGACAAATTAAAAGCAAGCAATTCACTGGATCCAGATGGCGCCTACCTAAACATTCTTAAAGAATTCATATGGGAAATTGTTTATTCTATTTTAGGTATTTCAGATGTACAAATT